ATTATGTATTTTCATAAGCTCAGATTTAAAAACAGAAAAATGAAAGTTAGATATTATACATTTGTATAGTTATGAAGTTATTTCCACATTATTGTAAACCAATAATCTCGAGATATTATATATTGAAGGAATAAGTTTATAAAACACTTACTTAACGTTTAATTGTTTTACTTACTTAACGTTTAAAAAAAAAAATTATTTATAGGTAAAATATTTCACTATGAAATATATTTGTGGACAATTATTTATATGTAAACTATTTCACTATGAAGAAGGAAAGTAGAAATATTGAAAAATATTACATTTTTATTTTCCAAGGGAATTTTTCAAATCTTTTTACCAAGAAATTTAAGAAATACTGCCAAACAAAAAAAAAATAAAGCCAAGAAGAATGCATAAAAATAGAGTGAAATATATTTGTGGACAATTATTTATAGGTAAAATATTTCACAAAATGCAACAGAAATATTGAAAAAAAAAAAAAAAAAACAAATTTCTTCTTAAATTTATATTAACTTAATTTAATACTAAAAATTAAAAGTATATATATCCTCAACAAATGCAAAGAATTTTGTGTTATTTCATCAATTTTCATTATTAAATTTAAGTCTAATCGGTTTTCTTTTTTTTTTTGAAACCATCAAATCGTATGAAAATGCTCATTCGAGGTGAATTTAATGATATCGTATTTGGGCGGTACCATCCACCCCTTCTACATTTGTCAATTGCTCCTCCCTTCATTCTTCCATTCATCATACCATCCTATCAATGACATGTGTCGCATGACAATTACTTACTTACTTACTTACTTACTTATTTGCTATCTTACTCGACATTTGTTATTTATTTGATCAACTTTTATTTTCTTGTAAAATTTTTCTTAGTTAAAATTAACTCAATGAAAAATAATGACCTGAAGCATATATGACATATCACTAGGGTTAATATAAAATCATTTACCTGAAGATTAATTAAGCAATCAATTATACTTTTTGACATTTTACTCTCTACCTTTAATTAATAAATTAATGATAGAAATTTTTGCGCGATAATATGAAGTTCATTGGAATGCTTCAACAACATTGGCTTCATTCCTACTCCTTTCTTATTAGCATTGGTGGGAGAGAGAGAGAGAGAGAGAGAGAGGGACAGAAAAGGAGAGAGGGAGAGAAAAGCTAAACTAGCTAATGACTGTCAACGTTTTCAATGTTTGTTCAACTGCTTCAAAAGCGCTTTAGTGATGGCAATAGTTTTCATTGTCGATACCATCCGATCCATCCGATCCTTCCGGTCTATCCGATCTATCCGATCTATCCATCCATCCATCCGATTCATTCGATCCGTCTATCCATCAATTTGTACCTCTACCGCCTTTTATTCATTCATCCATCCAATCATTTGATCTCAGTGATAGCGTCATGTGAACTTTCCTTATTTACATAGTAAATTTCAGGGTTACTTATTTAAGCAGCTGCTATAAGCTATTTTGACATCAAAAATTATTTTGAACGTTTGTTTTGAGTGAAAGGAAACTATCTTTAGACGAGAAGTTTCATCATGCCATTCTCATATTTAAATTATTCTATTATAGCAACATTCTCTAATTTTTAATTTTTGTAACTTTTCTAGATTTAAATTTGTGATTTTTTAATTCTCTTGAAATTCTATCCTTTGCTCTTATTATATTTGTAGTGAGAATAAATTTCGAGTTTTTTTTGACTTTAAAATGGTTCTGAATTTTAGGGATGAAAAAGTTCTAGAATACAAAACAGATAGTTTTCAAGACAGCAAAATGGGAAAATTATTCAGTTTTATTTAGCGCAATTTGTTATGAAGAGAGTTTAATAGTGCAAATTTTATGCAAGTATATAATTGTACCAAGAAATGATTTCTTATTGGTAGATCCAGAATTGGCAGATCGTTGATCCATTATAACCGTTTGTCACAATGAGTTAATTAATTAGTGCATTTTGCTTGAGTCACGATTATTAAGTGAATATTTGTACTTATAATATTCATTGCACACTTTAGGTATAAAATTTTTGCATTTAATTTATCATTGGATCCATAAATTTTATTTCCCTTTCTGAGAAATACCTTTCATATCTCTCAAAATTAACTTCCATTCTTATAAAATGTATACTTTGTGTAAAATAGATTCATTTAAATTCTTTGAATTTCATTTCTTTACTGCTATTTCCTGGAATATTGGAAAAAAAAATCGATGTAGTTCAGGCCACATGCTAATATCACTCTATCAGAGAACAAATATTTGATTTGATTATGACAATGTGATATCTTATTTGTATAACAAATCATTTGTTTATATATTTATGTAGTGAAAGCTGGAAATGAATATAAAATTAAAAAGAGTACTCATTATGAATCTTATGATTGCATCGAGATCTGATGGATAGTTCTATGTCACAATTTAGTTTCTAAAACAATTTATTTTGATTCATTCGTTGACAAATAACTTTTTTCATCTGTTCACAAAACTATGTGTAAAAGTCCAATAGAATTTTACTTAACAACGTGGAAAACTATTATAATTCAATCAGTATTGGTAGATCATTCCATGCATCATCAAGATAAGAAAAGATTAATTTTCAAGTTTATTTCTTCTAGCTCCATCTTTTTGTTAAAAAAAAATGGAAACAAGAAGTAATGAAATTTTTTGGACCTATAATTTTGTTTTTTTTTTTTTTTTTTTCAGTACATTATTTTTCATTTTATCTCTCTATCTATTCGCATGATTATACATTCAGGTTACTCAGCAAATCTACCTGCGTAGTTTTATACACTACTGATAAAGACAAACTATTTCAAATGATAAGAGGACTCATAGATTCATAAATATAATAGAAACTGATTCTCTCAATTCCACTTAAAAATTGTGGTTACCGTATTTTTGCTTTTAGATATATGAGAATGTATGCACAGGTGTGTATGTGTGTATGCATGTGTGTGTAAGTGTGGGTAGTGGCAGTACTTGTAAGTAAGTTTTTCAAATCATTCAATTGCAGAGATTTCAATGAGTCACTCGAGAATGACGAGAAAGTTTCTTTTCTGTAATCTTGACCAAGACAGAATGTGTAACTAGTTAGATAGACTTCGCCATTCCTCACTGCTGTCAATGCTGTCACCACTGTCACCATTTTCTCATTCTGTCGATATTACCTTGGAAGAGTGTCTGCAAGCTTCCGATACCTGTACGTATCATTTATATGCTCTCTATATGTGTCCGTCTGTACCATTCTTTCCGACTAGCTTTATTAGCTGTACAAATAGGAAGACTAAGGTAGGCGGTACAGGAGACCCTTTAGAGATGACAGTACAGTCTGCACAACAAAGCTTTTATCTGAGATCGGTTGTCAACCATTTCCTCATCTTCCGCTTCATCGACAGGTCATATAGATTTATCAACTTTCAACCTTTTATAATGTCATATTTGCTTTCATTTCATTTCATTCTCATTTAATTTGTCATTTCAAGCTTCTTTAATCAGTATTATCAGTAAATGATGTCTAAAAGCTTCCAATATTTGCACATAAAACTTCTCAAATTTATGTATCCTCAATTTAATGTCAAATCTTTGGCCATTTTTATTACTAACACTCTTTTCATCTTTTTTGTTCTTTGATTGGAATCAGACAAGTATTAAATGTATCTTTTCTGGTCTACTTCAGGTGTTCAAATTCTTTTCAAATAGTTTTAGTAATTGCCAGCTGTTTTCCAGTCATCTATAAAGTATCCGCCATTTTAGCAATAAAGTATTCATAAAAAAGGTAAATATTTGATAGTGGTTTCAATTTGCTATGTTCTGTTTACCAATTCAACACCAGAAACTGATGAAATGATAATATTGACATTTCACCTTGTCTTTCCGTATTTGCTTTTGACGTATTAACCGTGCATCATTTCATTTTAAGTAACTAAATATTGATTCGTGTTGCGTTCCAATTATTAATTGAAAGAAAATCAGGAAATCAGTATTGCATAAGTTTTATGCTTCTTTAATATCATCATAAAAGAGCTTATCATAATCATTAACACCTAACAGATAGTATAGATTAAAAAAGCTTTACGTCCACCTGAACTTTTCTTGCCTCATTTTGATAATAATAAGTTTAGATCACTTAATTTTGATCATCAAATTTATAGATTAATTTTCGAATACGCTTAATATTTAATAGCAGTCCGTGTCTCATTAATTAAATAACAACATCTACGATAAGTAAGTTTAGCCAAGTTAAAAAAGATTGAGTTTAAGAAATCAAAAAAAAAGCCATTTTTCTTTTTTACCTTTTAAATGCTTCTCTCTGATTACCATACTAACAAAAAGAAAAATCGCAATGAAATAATCATTTCAACAAGGTGGATCGAATAAGAATGTCATAGATACGGTATTAAAATGATGCCTTTTTTTTTTCCGCAATATAATCCTTTCGTTCAGCTCCTACTCTCCCATTTTACTTTTCTCTCTCCATCTATCTCTCTCCCTGTTCTTCTTATTCCTTTTTTCATTTTATTAAAGTTGACAGTAATAGTAAAGGGAGGTGAGAAAAGTAGTATTCACAATAGAAATGCATCATAAATTTATATGCCCATTATTGAAGAGATGCAAAGTAGAAAGATGTATTTATGACATTGAATTCTGTTATCGGAACGATACGATAAGGCTTTTATACAGACTTTTTGATTTTTGATTTTTATTCTTACCATAAAATTTGTTATGATCATTTATTTAGCTGATGATAATTTTACAATTTTACAGCATAAAAAAGTTCATGAAATTTCGTTTTTTTTTTTTTTTTTCTCTCTCCTTTTTCTTTTTTAATTTGATACATTATTTTTTTAGAGCATTTCATATAACTTAATAATGTTAGTAACAAAACTTTGTAGAAATTTAAAACGGTGAATAAGTGGCAAAACTGGAGTCGGCAAACGTATTTGGTCTTTCTACGGCTAGTACCTCATCGGTTAGCAGTTCAGCTAATATGAATACAATGCTTAGTAATGCTACCGGTCTTGCATCCGCTTCAGCAGTTTCTGCATCATCATTTGACTCTGCAGCACTTTATCAAGCACAAGCATCTACTTTAACACAGGTTTTCAATTATTTTATTTTTAAGTTCAAATTACAACAGATATTTGCAAAAAAGAAAAAAGTTTATGTAGATTTACATGAAATAAACAATGTTTCTATAAGAAATCGCAAATTATCATGAAAAAACTTGAAATTAATATATGAAATAAAAAATTTCAAAGTTTTTTTCTCTTTTAAATATAACAAAATTGTATGCTTTTGATTGTGTTATTCATAGATTTCGTATCTTTTTTTTTAGCGAAACATCACTCACTTATAGATATTTTGAATTCTGAATTTTACCACTACTATTTTTAATGTTTTTATTGGTTTGTCTTCGGAAATGAACTCATCAAGAATGAGTCTCAGAAACATTTTCTCTCTCGTACTTTTGTTTGACTTAATTGTTTGATTAACCAATAAAACCTTTCCGCTAACCCCGTCAACCCATTCTTATTTATATTTACACACAGCAAATATTAGTATTGATGATATACACGACATGTGATAGAACCAAACGGGGATTCCCTGATTCTTATTCTAGTGCATTTCCAGATTAATCAAAACTAATCGAAAAATTTGAGTCTACAAATACTGATGTCAACTGAGCAACTAGAACACATTTACATTCTTCCTTTCTTCCTAATATGGTAGCAAACGTCATCCTTTATGTACATACTCTTCATTACTCACTCAAATTTGCCTATTATAAATTTTGGGGATATCCTCATCTGTTTACTTTTGCAACTTCTGCAAACTATTTATTTTGGAGTACATTTGAAAAAGGTCAACAGTACTCGTTAGGTCAACAGATCAATACTTATATATGCTTTAGTTCAATAATATGTAGATGTTTTTTTAATATTTCCAGAATATTTTTATTTTTTTTTTCCAATTTTTATCGAAGTAATAATATTTCCATATTCTAAATAAGCAATTAAATGTACTTTGTCTCTTTGAACTTCTATAAAATTTAATTTACTGCTTAAATCGTCTAAATTGAAAATAAGCTATAAATTTATTAAGTCTAAGCGCCATTAAATGGAATATTTTTCAAGCTTGCTAGATTCTTTTTATAGAAAAAACTTTCCCATAGCTTATTGAAAAAGGAAATCCAGTTGTGATCATCAAGTGCAGAAGAGGAAGGGACATTGCGGACATAATTGATCGACTTGAGAAAGAATGAAATTCAATATTGATGCTGAGATACCGTAGTCGTCCTTGTGTGACACAAACTTCACACAAATAATGGGTTGGGTGTGGGGTGGAGCATTCCACCAACCGCAAATCATCATTTCGTCCTTCGTTGAAATGTTTCGATTATATCCATTCTTTTCCTTGAAAAATGATACAACGAAACACACTTTAATTATTCCTATAACTATAACTCATAATCATAATCATAATCATAATGATAACAGTAATCATAATCATAATCTTCATTACAATCAAAAATTAAACAGCAACCTCTTTTTTAACTTTCAATATCGAAAACTGATGAACTGAGTATTGAACTGTTTTTATTATCAAGCATCATGATTATGGATTTGGGAATTACATTTAGCTATGATTTTAATTTCTAATATCATCTCCTTATCTATTATATAACCATTATCACAATTGTGATCATAATATTATATTCGACCATAAAACGATTTTTAATATTTTTAGAGCCACAAATACTAGTTAAAGATTGCAAGAGAAGAAAGATAAAGAATGGAAAGATTAGATAAGATTAGAAGAACTCAGTCATCAATCATTTTGTTATCAGTGATTATGCAAATATAGTTACAGGGTATGACAGCGCAAGAATATGCTTCGGTAATGCCAACTTATTCAACCGCTTTATCCGCCTATAATCAGTATCCTTATCCAACTAGCAATAATTTAGCCAGTGGAACATTACCAACTTATTATACCTCAAATTATATGAGCCCCGTTAATCAAAGTAAATATTACTTGTTTCTGTTTTTTGTATTATTTATTCCTTTTATATTATCAGCTGATCTCTTGATAGAATGCAAATCGCATATCTTCATTACTAGATGGTTTGAAGTATTCCTGATAGTTTAGTGATAAATATAAATTCGAGTTCTTAAACAAATGAGTTCCGATTTTTCTTCATTCCGAATTTAGGAAAATAACTTTAGTTGTTAAAGCTTGAGCATATCGTTTTTCATTTTGTTTAAAAGCTCAGATTTATATATACTAATTAATACTCAAGGATGAATAGCTATTCAGCTTCATTTGAAAATCAATCAGTTGCAGCTTACAATAGTTTTGGAGTAGCAAGCGGAATATCACCCTTGGCTTCAACCGCTAATCGAGCATCTTCAACTATCACCAATAATGCATCCACTTCTGCGACAACTGCCGCAAGTTCAACTTCTGCCGTTGCTGGTCCATCCTCATCACTTACACAAATTTCCTCGAATTGTCGCACCTCCCGCGTTACCTTCAACGAACAAACACAACAGGAACTTGTAAGTGCTCCGTAAAATTTGAATATCAAACAGTCATAGTATGAGGCGCAAAAATGACTACGGAATTGGCTGACACAGGCAGGTGACTATGTATGATTTACTTCTAAAGATTCATGATTATAAGACATTTATAACAAACGTTTCATTTCAATTTTTTAATATTTATTTCTTCAGGCTCAGATGCGTACTTATAATGGTAAAATAGGCAATGCGAAGCCGCCATTTTCATATATTTCACTGATAACAATGGCAATTCAACGATCAGAATCTCGTATGCTAACACTTTCAGAAATCTATCAGTTCATTATGGATAATTACGCCTACTATCGACAGAACCAGCAAAGGTCAGCCGGGTCAGTGCTTATCAAAAATTGCTGTCTACTGAATAGACTGGCTATCTACTGCTATCAGTGTCATTAATATGATAATGACAATGTTATATATTTTGATAATCCACAAAATTTCCTTCCCATCCGTTTACTTTTCATTTATTCATTCACAATATTTTATCGCGAAGAGCAATATAATACGATGACATATTTCAGGTGGCAAAATTCGATCAGACATTCACTTAGCTTTAATGATTGTTTCGTCAAAGTACCCAGGTATTTCGTTATTACTACCATGGTTATGCTTGTTGATGAAGCCTTCAACATAAACAATCTTAAATAACAAATCAATTATTGACTTTTGTATAGGACACCGGATAAACCCGGAAAAGGTAGTTTCTGGACTCTTCACGAAGACTGTGGTAATATGTTTGAAAATGGGTGCTACTTGAGGAGGCAGAAACGATTCAAAATAAATGATGGTAAACCAAAAAATAAGAAAATTAAGGTAAATTAATTCGAAATTATATTTTAGTGAACAATAAGATCTATCTTAATTATGCAAATTCGTAAGGAATAAATAGATATTGGCAGACTTGTAGCGCCTATGTTTATAGAATGGACATGGCGCAAGAACGAGTCAAATTAAGGAAGAGCATGATGAGGATGTAATGGATAATAAAGGGATCAGTAATACAGCTGAAATGAAGGTTTCAAGTGGTTCGCAAAAAGCGCAACAACCCGATACGGCATGCTCACCACCGAGTGAGGTAAAATCTTCTCTTCTTTCTTCCGCAACTCTTCAATTTTACATTTACTTTATAAATCATTCTGGTTTACTCAATTTTTACTTTACTTCTATTGAATTGTTTATGAAATGCTTTTATGTTAACACTGATTTGTTGTATTTTTTTTAAAAAAAGTCGAAATTTATAAAAATTATAAATTTTTTGAAGGAGAAAAACACTTATTGAAGTCTTTTTTTTTTCAAACTGAATGAAATAGAAGAAATTTTAAATTTAGTCATAATTAATGAAGCATTTATTGAAATCAGTTTTAATAGCAATCCAAAAATTATCTTCAAATTTTTGTTTATAAACTTTAGGCTGAAACAAGTACCAGCACCGATCGATCAGTTGCTAGTGGTGCAAATCCTCAGCTAATCAGGACTCAGCAACAAGCAATGCAATCTGTACAGTTATCTGCCACCACATCGTTGACAGCATCTACCGTAAGCAGCCAACCGACAAGCGTCATTTCAGCAGTGGGAACCGTGCCGGTAAGTTTTAATTTTAAATCTAATTTGATTTTAATTTAATTCTAATTTCGAGAGTAAAGCAAAAGCAAACACAAATAGCGGAAGTGCTAAGTTAGTCTGAAGACAAAGTTAATCTGATATTCTTTTTTTCTGATTATGACTGAAAATTCAAATTGACTAAAGATTTGACTAATTTAGTGACACAGAAATTACACTTTTATTTACTATTCATCAACAATATCTATCTGTTATTGTTATCACAGTTATTATCACTGTATGCTATGGTATCGCATCTTCCCGATTTATCATTATAGTTCATTAATTTACTTCTTGCTCATGTCATTCTCTTCAATTCATGCTTTCTCTATCTTCAATTGCTGTAAATTGTACCATTAATATTCAACAATGGATCTCTTCTAGATGAGTCCTTATGCCAGCCAATATCCATCCTTTGGACTGTACTCGAATGGCGCAATGACCGCAGTGCCAGATTTGTCACAAACAGCTTTACCTACTCTAACACCAAGTGCCTTCCGTATTGGAAGCCTTATCGATAATTATAGTATGTACAATAATATGTATGCCACACAACCAAGCAATTCGCTTAACGATTATCCATATCAGCAAACACTGTACAGGTAAGGTATTAATTTACTTTTTTTGAATTTACAAATCTTCGATCATCTCATTGTCATAAAATTAATCTGAATAATTATCATTATAAAGACTAGAGAGGGTTGCAAATGCAGTGAATATTGTAACAATAAGCAGAATATCTCATGTTATTTGTTGCTAATTATTATTAAAACATCAATATCTCTCTATAATTCTGATAATTATAGGAATTTTTTCGTTACTTTGCATTAGATTATTGTTTTTGCATAATAATTGAGTAAGTAATAAAAATTCTAAGATGACGTTTTTTTTTATTAAGTTTGTGCTAAGTTATTGGATCATTAGGGAGGAGAGGGATTCAACCTTAAAGAGGAATTAGCTGATCATTTAGCATGAAGAATTTATTTATTTTCATAAATTTATTGCTTTCCAGTTCGAATAATCCCAATTCATTGCCAAATTTGTAAAAGGAGCTTAAAAGAAAAAGATTGAATGATGTGGAAACGAGAAGAAAGATTATAATTTAGTAGTAGTGCCTCATTTCAACAACTGGTCACTTATGATTGATCCAAATATTTGCGATTTCATTTGTAAACATAATTTGCTGTATATTTTTGTAAAATGTTGTTAGGTATTTATATTCACAATTCTTTAATTTTTCTTTTCCACTGAAATGATTCGAATGCATGCAACAAATTCCAGTTTAATTAATTATTAACTTTTTTTTTTATTATTTTTTTTTTCAATCTTACTTGAAAGTTTGAACAATTTGACGGTAGTTTTTTACTAATTTCACTTAATATATCTATTTATGATGCCTTAATCATTTCTCATTTCTTTTTTTGAATCAAATTTTGACCTACCGTATACCTTTGACCTGGCATAGGAGACAAAATGAATGAAAATGCATATTCAGACCATTTTTATGGTTCATTCAAATTTTCCAAGGGAAAGTCAATTCTAAAAGTTAGCAATGTGACAACAAAACATTTAACTGTGATATATTTGCTTGACTGATGAAACAGATTTGTTTGTACGTAATACCACCATTATTATTTTATTGATTTATTTTCCTGCAAACTTCTTATGTCTTCTCGCCCTGAAATCTCTCGAGAAATATTTCCTGCACCATCCTTCTCATTACTTTATTTTTTTGATTAAGATTTCGAGTAATTTCAAAATTTCTGAATTTGAAAGATAGTGGGATGAGAGAAGAATGCGTGATTATAATTACTTTGTTTGCCACGAATGTTTACTTATTCCTGCAATACAATTTTTGGACTCATAAATGTATGAGTAAAAAAGCCAAACAATGGCTTCTCAAAACTAATTAATTAACGGTGCATCATAAAATCATATTTATTGAAATCATGGACTAAACTTTTCCTCCTCCCCAATGTTACAGTCTTGCGGTTTTATTCTTTGCTTTGCTTTACATTATTGTTGACATTACTATTGTTTATGGCAGTTAAATATTTTTGAAGTGTTCTGCAATAATAGTAATACATCGTGACTGACTTTGTAACTCGATTTGTAAATTTTCATAAAATTTCAAGATGAATACGAATAATCCTGACCAGGCTTAGTTTTATTTATGAGACTTTTTGAAAAGTATAAATAGATGACATTTAGCCATATGAAGCCAAGATGTTTAATATATTTTTTATATTAATTCGTACGATACGAAAATATTTAATATGTTAATTGCTGGTATGACAGTTACTTAAAAAGTATTATGAATGTTAAATATATTAAACGGATGTTTGTTAGATGTTGTAATTATTAATACAACAGTGCTTGGATAACAGATTTCGGTCATTCGTGTTTTGGTCTTATCTACAGATGAAATTTAATTAGTGTCTTTTGAATACTAGAAACACCATTGTGTTTCTCTTATTTACCTTTCAATACTTTAGAAAAGTTACAAATTCTGCGAAGCTCTCGAAGATTCCTGTTAGAGAGAAGAAATGTACAAAATAAACATGCATATTTTAATGATAAATATTTCGAAGTTTGCAAGACTTACATTTGTCTATAAGTATTGCCTTCATACAAATTACGAAATTAAATTAATTCTAAATTAACCTGAGAAGGGTGAAACTTCAGTAAATCAATAGGAGTTCCGTTTTGTTATAAAGCAATATTGACCTCATTATTATGACCTTTTCTATATGAACTTATAGCCTTTTAAGAGCTAAGAAATTTGCATTCCATTACAACTGTTGAAGGAAGTGTAATGGAATACCTCATTGTTTTTGGTAACTAATGTAACAACAATAAGTACTTGTGTGCCAAACTGCGCTCTGGGCACTTCTCAACTTAATGGATAGACATTGTAGTTGGAGTACGAAAACACACCCAAATGAATAGTTATATCAATGGATCTAATAGATCGAAAGTATTATTGTCAGGTGTGAAGGCGAGGACAATAAATGGGAAAGGGAAGGTGAAGTTGAAGTTAACATTTCCTTCCTAACTTCCGTGAAGTCTTCTCAATTGTGTAATACTTCCCCCTACCTACAGTCATTTGTAAAATGGGTAAACAAATGAAAATGAAGGGATCTGTAAGTACAGATAGGTATATATCACCAAGTTATTTCTGTCTAAAATTCATCACTTACCACAACCTGAACTGATCAACAAAAAGTTTAAGTATTCATCTGGTTGATCACCTCCACTACTGTTACTTCAAAAAAGCTAATACGAATGGAAATTTCAGAAAATTAATGTACTGAAAAAACTTTGCAGGACCACGACCTTAAAGGTCCAATAACAGGATCAGGATTATGATAAAGGTGATAACTCTACGAGACAATGATTAACAAAAATCAGATTTCGTATTGCAAGAAACATTTCCTCCAATCTTGACTTAATTCATTATATAAGCGACAATAACAGAATGCAAAATCAATGATTTTTATATTTTATTTCAAAAATTTTAAAAATGCACAGAATGAAATTTAACTTTTTTAAAGATGAATAAAAATACCAAATGAGCAAAAATACGCGTATTTCGGATGGTAATGATTGAAATAGTTAGAGATTAGGGAAACCACAGAAAATACATAAAAGTTTGCAAAAATGACTTTACTATTTGTAGTAGAGTCAGCTCAAATGACTTTCATATGAGGAATATTTTTTCAAAAGAATTCCAGCAGAAATTTTGCAGCATTGAAGTAATTTTTTGGATGGTCAAGAAAGGAATTATAGTCCAGAACAGAACAGAAGTGCACAGGAGAAAAATTTTACATCTTATATGGAAAATATCTACAAAAATGAGTTAAAATACGAAAGAAAACAGAAAATTTAGAGCATAATACAGTTTGGAAAATGACATGAGATAAAACAGCGAAAAATTAGGAATTAATTTGGGAGCATAGGGTTGGAGAAGAAGGATAAATTTATCTATTGGTTTAAAAACTTTTCTGCTAAGTCAATTTTGATCAAATTTTAAATCTCATAAAATTGAATAGAATGAAATGGATCATATCTGAATTTGAATTCAATTTAAAAAGAGATAAGTTAGGAAATCAAAAAATATCTGAATCGAACCTACAAAATAAACTGTCTGGAAGTGTTTTTTCCTACCTGTTTTCTAATGATATTTTAACAAAATTCGAGTCTATCACCAAACCTATGCGCACATCAGTTTTTTGAAAAAAGGTATAATTTCTTCACTTCCTTGGTCCATATTTGAAAGACTGAATAACCAGGTGGGATTAAAGAATAGTTCGTCTTTCAATTTCAAAAATTAACCAACATTTATAATTACGATATTGATACAGTTATCTTCCTTCTTCAGCTTTATGCTCCTAAATTAAATTGTAATTTTCTACTGCTTTATCTTATATGTTAAATTAAATAAGAATTACAGCAAAAAACGATGTAGAGTAGTATCACAACATGAATCACACATTATTCTCGACATATTGTAAGAAGAAGAAAATCGATATCACATATCCGTAAGATATAAATTATCAATCAGTGTTTATCATGTAATTTGTATCCAACTGCTGAAATATATACATCAAGTATAACAGAAAGAAATAATGACAAATAGAAATTTAGCAAATTCCACTCCAATTCAAATGTATTGCTCAAACTAAGTAATAAATCTATCATTTGTTGCTTGAAACATTTCTAAAACTAAGAAGAACCCAAGTTTAGTGCTACTATAAAAAAATACATACTTATGATAGGAACTTATAGAAGTTATCATCACGAAATGCATTCTGATAAATATTTGATTTATTGATTGATATAAAAGTAGAATAAATAGGATAGAATAACAACATCAGAAACAAAGAGATAAGCGCTCATGACGTTCAAAAATACAAGTCATATTAAAATGAAACATGAAACGTTTTCAAGTAAAGCGGTCATTTCGACTGTACTTGATGAGAGAGAAACTGAGGGGACAACCACGATCGAGACCTGTTTATATATGGGTTACACCGGGGGACAGGGGGAGGTGAATATACCAAGTGAGGACAAATATTAGTATTGGTTTTATTCATGTTTAAAGAACAAATATTAAATGTAGAAGAATTTGTTTAGGGTTTTACCCCCTTCTGATAAAGAAATAAATAAATATTTACTGTTGTGCATTGTCATAAAGTAAGCCATTTTTTTATATTTGTAGCTTCTTATAGATATAAAAAGTGTCTGAACAAAAGGCATATTATACTCTAGATTTAGTTCTTAAATTTCCTCTTTTCCTACAAATAAATTAAGCATCTATGTAGACAAACCTTTGATAAAGAAAAGAGAAAAATGTGAGTCAAAAGCATTCCAGTAGTGATATTGCACTGTGAATTATGACTTAATACAAGCAAAAATCGTCTTCATCTCCCATTTTAGTTTTCTAATTTCTGTTTTTTCCTATGTTTCTCTCAAATCTCTTTTCATTTTGTAAATTTTATACAAAATAAACAACAATTACTTTTGCTAGGAATAGATGATATTATTAAAATGTAATCTGCAAATATTCCCATATCAATTCTCAACGAATGTACAAAAGTAGACCATTTCAAAATTAACTTCCTATCTGACTACTTCTAGCACTCTGCTTCTTTGAATAGTGATTATTTGTTCCTCAAAATAAATTACTGTAATGAAATGTAAAGTACTGCAATGCTTTCTCTCTCTAGGTACTTCAGACTCACTCATTTGCTGTACCAACGGAACTTCTTAAAGGAGAGTATAACTCTAGTAACTAGTTCATTTCGATTGCTGCTCACATATCTCAAAAACTTTTATTGTTGAAGTTAGCTTCCAAATGCAAGCTTCCAAACCCAGAAAAGAAAATATCTCATCTATCTCGAAACACTTCTATACCCAAGTAATAAAACTATCTCACATAAAACTAGTCACTAGTCACTTTCACTACATCATTCTTTCCTCTACTATCACTTATTTTCTTCACAAAAATGTCATTTTACAGTTTTTGACTTCAAAAAATTTGCACGAATCGACTATTTACACTTCTCATATTTTAAAAACTTTCAAAACAATCTGTATACATCGTGAATTCCCTGCTTTTGCAGAAATTTGTAGATTCAAAATTATCTTGAAAAACTGCTTGAAATAAAGCTTCTAAAATTAGCCTATGGTTTAATATTTGTCCATTCATCTGTACATAGCTCGAGTTTGTTGTAGATTGAAATAATCAAAATAACGAGAACACAATACTGTTCTTTCCTCATGGCGGAATCAATTTGTACTTCTGAGTCTCTCTGTGCAACCTCTCTACGCTTTCCCGTCCTATCATTCGACCACTATCCAAATGCTCTTATGCAAACAAAACTCGAGCAGCAGTAAAGCAATACAGTGCCACTCACGGAGACACACTAAACCGATACCAAAACGATGGCGACAAGGACGAGAAGCTCCTCATCCGTAACTATATATCTCTCATACCTTCCCTAAAAGGTCGAACTGAAGGGGTTAACAAAGACCATTCAAATAGCTTTAAAAATGTTCGAATTAATGAAACTAATAAATATCAAAAATATTCCAGAAAAGAAGCCTTTTAAAGTACTTATTTTCCTTGACATAAAATGCTGTTTAGATACTTCATGTGGTTAATGTAATCTGATATCAGCCAACAAAAGAAAACAAATCTCAAGAAAAAATTTCCTAAGGAATAAAAAGCGAATAATGAAAATAAGAAAATGAAATTAGCAAAAGTTAAGTGTAAGATAGGAAAAAAACTGAGTTAAACTAAAAAACAATAATGATATGTATCACTCCTAAATTCACTAATATAAATGATCACGTTTCAATAGAAGTTTTGAAAACAACATTGTAAGTATACTCTGATTCGGTAATTTCTATTTCATTTTTTCTTTCAACTACTAATGTAGATTTAATTAAATGAGAAACCAGTATTTCAAGAGAATGAGAAGTCTATTCATTAGACAAATTATTACGAAAAGAATGGCCTAAGGCACTAATTAAGATGTTCATATTGAAATGGATGAAGAAATACTTTAAGCTGTCAAAGCATTCTATACAAAACAACTCCTTAGCGCTCTTATACAATTCTCATAAAGAGTGAAAATTTAAAAATTGAAAGATCACAAAAAATATTTGTGAAATCAACGAAAACAAACCAATTAAATTTTGGGAAAGAATGCATTACTGATCAGATTTCTGCTGCTACTGCTGTTGTTGTTGTTGTTGTTGTTGCTGCATTGATTGTAATTTTCGCCTGAGAACGACCACCAATCTATGTTGCCTGAAAAATGAAAGCTCCAATTCCACTTCTTCATTACTATTCACTGTGATGAGCTCATTCCTTGAACTTGGAGTTTTTCCATATTATGATAAGAATATTACAGTACAGCAAAATGCAAAATAGGTTTCAAATTAAATTAATATTGCAAATTAAATCCTTCCTTATCCATCAGTAGTTGATACCAGCTTTACATATCAAAGTTCGAATTAGAGAAATTTTAATAGGAAATGATGTTAGGACTGAATTATTCTAACTCAATATAAAAATTCGCATAATACGAGTCAAATCTCAATCAAAACATATGCAACATGATGACTAAACTAACGAGGTTACAAAATTGATGAAATACGGGTCAGGTAAGGTCACAGAAAAAACGGAAGAAAATCGTTATGACTAACTTACTACAGTAATCCGCAGGTTCATACTTGTCAAGCAATCACAGTAATCTAGAAATTTTATGGATCATTTTACATTCGTGTGCAACCGGAATGCAGCATTAATGCAATAAAAAAAATTCAGTCATAAACTTATTATTGATTTCCAGCAAGGACGGCTGGATCAAGCACTATCATAAAATGATTCATATGAAATGAGATAAATGAATAGAAATAAATAAAATTAATGAGGGCGGAATAAGGCCAAATGTGTTAAAGCAAGTGATTTCTTCATGAACATCAAAGGTTGAAGCCGATCGACGTCCATCAAAGATGATCACGATTAGCTTAACGACTACCTTAAGTAGGGATATAAGTACGGTAAATGTAAGGGAAGAAATATATGCCACGTATCAGGAAAAGCGGAAATAGAAGAAAAACTTCAGGTATATAACATGAAAAATATTAGTGGAATTGATGAAGGCAAAAAGAGACAGCCGAAAGTTCATCATAAAATGATCAAGAGAGCATTTTCCATTCTTAAAACAACTATCGTATTTCCATCATAAGGACCATTTGAAACCTTCCCGCCCTGTTCCTGAACCCCTGCAGTGCCCTCAACAGGACGAACTATTGTTGTACCGTGTACTGACTTTTTCTTAAAAAGACACTTGAAACTGCTTAACAATAAGAATTTTTCCACTTTTTTCAAGTTTGTGAGAGAATATGGAAGTAATAATAAAGAGTTACATAAATATTTTCCGGAAAAGAAACGTTCAGATTTACTGCTTAATCTTATATGTTTATATATACATATGTAGTGACATGAAGAAACGAGTATTGAAAAGTTTTGAACCATATGCCATAAAAGCAACTTAAAATACGAAAATATACTGATATAAAGTAATCGTTTTCGAAATACCATTGAATACATCATTAATTCTGGCAATTTTTCTAAGTTTAATTTAAATATTGGAAATAACACCAAGTTATAAGGTTTGTTTATACCCTGCAAATACTTCTGTAATATTCCACAAGTGGCATAATACGTAATTTCAGAATCTAGAAAGTCCATCTTATGTGGAACATATTTATAATCCGACTAAATGGTTGCGCATTAAAGAAAGCACCGAAATGAAAAATGTAAGCACAGTTCCGCTTAAACCTTTATGGTTCATAGTAGTGCCTTTCCTGATAACAAAACTTTTGAGCACTTGTTTAAGTATATGTTAATAAATTCATTGTGAAGAAATGAAGTATAAATTGGGGACCGTATACCTTAGCTACTTCATACTTTTCATACTCAGTATCGATTTTATTTTAGTAGCAAATCATCCAGGAAAGAAGCAAAAATTTAGATCAGTCTAGGAACAAATCACTGTTTTGTGTTTCAAAACAAAAACCTCAAGATATTAAATTTTGCACTCGTACAACGATTTTTAAGAATGCATTACAATTAACCATTCTAGTTCCAAACTAACTGATTTAAATCAGATTTATTTGCATTGAAATAAAGAATAAAACTTTTCGAAATCAAAATTCACTATTTTACCCTAATATTTTTTGAAATTTCAAAACCCATAATAACTAACAAATCTCATGATAAATAAAAAGAAATTTTTGATAAGGTGGTATGCTTCTTAAAATACTTCACCTCAGGAAGTTGGATTAGCGCAACTACAAGACTTGTTGAATCAAGGAACTGAAATACATATAGGAGTAAAGGTAGACCTCACAGACGAATGTTTTTCTTTCATGAATTACATAACTTCCCGGATGTGTTCCCGTATGTAACAAGTTTTCTATTGATTTCTTAGCCATCATCTGGAAACTACATTACGTAATCGGCAAACGTTCCAATCACTTCGTTAATCAGCCATTAATGGACAGTGCTACGGGAAATGCAATATTGCTTGAGTTATATTCATTACAGTTAAACTAAATCCGGTCTAAATCTTCTGAAAGAAAAAGAAAAGCTGTTAGCAATCAGTCAAAATTGTCATTTGGTTTATGTTTATTCAGATTATGAGCAGCTGCTTCCATTTTAACTGTAATTATTATAGTACCAAAGTGTAAAATCATATCATAAGCTATTTTATCGCTTATTTGCTCATTTACTTTTTAATTAGCTAATAGTTAAGCGAGAAGAGAAAAAGAGAACAAGAGACTTTGACTTTTATCACTTATTAATTGGGGCATTAAAATGTGCCAAAAAAGACTTTTACATTTAACAAAAACTTCTAAAATCTTCAATCTTGCTCGAAAAATTTCGCGTTTAGCTCGGAATCACATTATTTTGATCCTTTCTGCAAGTTTTGATGAATATCTAGGTTTGTAATTTAACTATGAGTGCTTTTATCATAATCACGTCACATTAGGGAAAAAGAAGAAGAAGAAAAGAAAAAGTAAAAGCGATATTCCACAGAAACATGAACTATAATATATTTGGGAAAAGGGTTGCTGAAGGATAATATGTTGTGTAAACATACTTCATTTGGAATATAGATGAATGAATGCATGAAAAAACGGAAAGTCAGAAAACACCTGTGGTATAGGGGTCAAACCCTTCTACATGTGTACGAAAACCCATATTAAAAAGTTAAAGTTAAAGATAACTTAAATTATTATGAATATAATAAGTAAATTAAATAAAAGACTAATACAGGTTAGAAGTTATCGATTAATGGGAAGTTGAGCTTAATCGAGATGTGACATAAAAATTAGGAAATTGATTTGAGATAGAAATTCGAATATTATGAAATGTAGGTGTTACTTTAATCTACTAACAGATTTTGACTGTGAAGTATAGTCATAGCAATAAATATGCAAATAATGGATCAAAACTTAAAGCAAATCTCTTATTACATTTAGAGTAACACTTGGAGATTAAATATTCAAAATACTATACGTAATCAATCAAAACCCAAAGAAACTAAAGTAAAGATAAATCTCAGAGCATAAATAGACCCGTAAATTGCCCTGGTGTGTAATTCAATCTTAATAACATTTTGAAAATTGCGTGGATTTGCTAAGAGATAGTCTCATTCGATTGTTTTGCTTTCCTTTTGGTACTATAATCTACTGCCTTGATAAAAAAAAATGAAAGTTTCATTTTAGTTTTTTTGAAAATTTTAAATTATTTAAAGGAAAATGATTTAGCAGATTAAGGCATAATGAGACTAACATATCGATATCTTTCTTCAGTTTCTTATTTTCTTCCGCCAATGACACCTGCAATATTTCATCGGTTATTTCATTTCCAATCCTTTTACGAGGTGGTGGTGTGGGAGTGCTGCATACTGTTTCAAACCTGAAATGCTGCTTGAACATATGAAGCATAAATAATGCTTAATATGATTTTATAACTGAATGGTAAATTCTCATAGTCGTTGTCATCCAAATAAGAACCTAACTTTACTTACTCTAAAATGTATTTCTAGGAATCAGAGAATCTTGAAACCTGGACAAGCTATCATCGGATTTCTTTAACCTTTCCCTAATATCCAATTCTTCCGATACTTGTTTGCTTTTCTTCACTTCTTGCTGCATCTCATCCATTTCCTTTCGCATTCTGGAATTTGATGATGTACTAAATAGAAAGAACTTCTGAAACGTGCAAGTTTGTAAATATAGATCATTCGAGAAATGTTTCCTTTAATTATTAATTAAATACAAATGATCATGAATTGTTCCCATTAGATACCGCATAGAATAACTGAGTTCCTCTGAAAGTTAGCAAATGCTGCTTCAAATGTTACTGCTATGCAATGCTATTGTCATTAAAAGATATGATGATGCACCGAATAATAGGACAGTCCTAATGCAGAATGAATCTTATACAACATGTAGAAACTTTTGCCTTTTTTCTTTGCTTGTTAAATTAACCTTTCATTTTGGCTTAGTAATTCTTTGTTTTTATCCTTTACACTTTGTATTTCTCGATTCAGTATTTCCATTTGGTTGTTTGACTTTACTCTCCACTCCTCGTTACACTGTTGCAACCGTCTCTCGAAGTCCTCTGTAAGCTTCATCAATTCTTCTCGATTCTTCTCTCGCAATAATTTCTCCTCATTTTTGCAATGCTTTTTCAATAATCCTTCCAGTTGTTGATCTTGCTTACTCAGTTCCTTATCCAACAGATTATGCTCCTTCAACAGTTCACCTGCCAGTTGAGCATTCTCTGCCATTAATTCGTTTAACTGAAATAATTAAATCAAAGATGAACTGTCTCCTTCTATATTCATAAACTGTGTGATAATTTCAGATAATTGTGAAAATTTCAACTTTTGCACCAGTAGTTGTACACCATTACACAAAATATCACAAATAGTCTATAATCCATAGAAAATAAGGCTGTATGGGTCGTTTTTATTTGAGGTTTTTTCACAGAATTAGGGATTTTTCACAACATTTAATGGTTCATAAAATGCTAACAATATCAAAATCTTTTATTAACTATTTCTTGAAAGTTATGGAAAAAAAGTATCCTGTGAAAAGAACCCATCATAACGACTTCTTATCTGTGTATAAAGAAAAAAAAATTTCCAAATCTGTCTTCTGAACCTTGTTTTTTACATCCGGCAAATCCTCGTCTAACACATTTTTTGTCTTCAGTGTTTCAACTTCATTTCTGAGTTGTCCAATTTCATTTGAAAGATGCATTTTCTCGATACCTAAAACTGAATTAAAACATTAAAAATTCTATTAATATACGAGGAAGCTCGACCTTTTAAGATATCAAAAATTAAAGAAACATTCACCAATGTAACTAAATAAATTAGGAATGCAGGAAAATTCATCTCTTTCAAATTAGAATACAACCAAACAAATATCACTGTTCTGTAACGAACCTAAATCGATGATTCGTTTTCGTTCAACTTCTAATTCATTTGTGAGCCTTTTAATGTCCTCGATAAATGTTTCATTTGTTTTAGTTAGTTTTTCAAGTTCTTTTTCTGCAGCTTGCGTAATTGCTTCGCTCTTACTGCACTCCATTTTCCAATTCTCCTAAAAAAGATTTTATAACAATCAGAAACATTAAAGAACATCTGTCCCTTAAATAATAACTATCCTTCAGAAATATTAAATAACAAAAAAAATAAAAATAAAATAAAATAAAAATAAATAAAAACCTCAAAACCTGAAGGATTTTAAGATGTTTTTTTTTAGGGTTCATAGGTATGAATATCAATGTCAAAACAATTTCAACCTCTTGTTGTTGTCGTAGAAAGAGAGGTACTCTCGGTTACAGGCAAATAAATCATTATCACAAAAATAAGGACAATATTATGCACTTTACAAGATACGACAGATTGAAAGTGTTTCTGAGCAGATATTAAAATCAAAAAGGCTTTGACCAGACCTCGATGGTCTGAATTTGTTCGCGTAAATCATGGAGTTCTTGTTGCCGATCTCTTTCCAAATCTTCATTACTTTTAGTTTGAACTTTTAAACTTGCTAATTCCTGAGCTTGACGCTCACCTTCCGCTATCGCTTCATCTAGTTGCTGTCGAGTTACTTCTAGCTCCATCCGTTCACTGTAAAACAAAAAAACAAAACCACTCAGATCTAAGATTCCCACATTAACAAATAGTTAGAAGGAAAGATGTTTTCTTTTGCCTTTTTTCTTTTGCCAAAGATATGAGATAACAGTAATTTTCCTACTTCGATCTCAACAAATTTAGTTAAAAATTTTAAATCGGAAGTGACGTATGACACAAAAAGAATTAGCGACAGCGAAGCGGAAGGTAAAGCTCTGAAATTTAGTTCTGATTTAAACTTTAAATTTTCCGGAAATTATTTTTAAAACAACAAGCTGTGTAAAATTAGGCGAATTGAAAGAATGAGCATGGCAACACGAAAAGTATGATGATGCCACCAAATAAATAAATAAAAGTACGACAAGCACCACTTACATGATTAAGAAACCAATTATAGACAGTAAAGTAACATTTAAATGAAGAGAGAAAAGTTATTCAGTCTAACTGCTTTTTAATTTTGGTAAAGCATATCTGAAGAAAAGGTTACAGCTTCATGAATTCTGCGAAATCTTAATGAGCCCAAAGCTTTAAGTGATAATACAGAAATACAAATTGGAAAACGGAAAAAGTAAACGTAATAAATACATCCCACGTTATGGTAAAACGCTATTAAAATAGCATTATCAATGTAGTTGATAAGCGAGTAGTAAAATGGCAGTAAGCTAAGATAGAAAGCATGTTACAGCACAGAGTACAGTGCACCTTTTGTGCGACAAAAACATTTCGGATGAGAAAAAGTAACACATGAAAAATATCTCGAATTTCTTGTAAATTAAAATTGTGAACGACTAAGAATGGATGAGCAATTTCCCATCCAAATAATGAATTGCAAAAGGAAAATTATTATAATTACCACGATAGCCGTTCCATTTCTTTCAGTCGTTCGAGTGCCTCAGTTTTCAGTTGCTCTTTCTCCGTATTAGCGATATTTAAGAAATTTCGTAAATAGTTCACTTCCTTTGACAAATTTTCAGACTGCTCTCGCAATCGATCCATTTCTACTCTCGATAATTCACAGGCCTGATGAGCTTTATCCAGTTGTTGATTAAGATCTTTTACTTTCTCAACATGCTTCCTATTATTTTCATTTTCCATTTCGACAAACTGCTCTTTTAATTTCGTCAGCTTCGCTTTCAGTGAAGAGCATTCATCGAGAAGATTTTTATTTTCAAACTCAATGACTCTATTTCGTTCTTCCAGACGACTGCTTTCTTGAAGACGTGTTTTGCAAGACCTCATATCGCTTGTTAAATTTTCAATATCTTTCTTCAAACTAGTAATGTCCAAGTCTCTTTCTTCTATTTCTCGTTTATACTGTTCTCGGCATTCCTGAACACTCATTAATTCTGTTCTCAATTTTTTAATCTGTTCCTCAAATGGATCTAAACGTCCCTCGGTTTCAAGTTTGTCGCTTTTTACATCTTTTTCTGTTTCTTTAATCGAATCCAAAACCTCCTTATTTTCCTGAACGGTTGCTTGAAGCACTTGGATACGTTTCTGAAGGCACTTTCTGTCCATTTCTTCGTCCTTCATTTGTTTTTTCAGAAAAGCTAACTCTGCTCTTAAACCCCAAACTTCACTACTGGATTTCGACTTCCAAATTTGTTCATTCGTTTCACCACAACTTCTGCTTGTACAATTACAATCGTCTAATTTTATCAGTACAGCATCTTTATCTCTATGCTTTACAGCTTCTTCTTCATCATCATTATTTACAGAAATGATATGTCTTCCCTCTTCTATTTCCGTCTTTGTTTGAGTAGCCTTATTGACCAACACTAACTGGCAATCGCTTTGTTCGAACAACAATTTTTCCTCAAGTACATCAGCTATACATTCCTTTAAAGTAGCCAATTTTTCCTCGAAATCAGATCTTGGACTCAAATCAAGATTTTGTGTTTTACTGTTTTGAAATTCATCATGTTGGTCAATTCTGAAAGATGCAACACTGCCGCCTTTGACAACTAATTCCTTCCTCAGATTCGTCATTACAGCATTGAGCTATAAAGTAACAAAATTATGCATTAATAATACAGTTCCAAAATAACTCTGAAAATAAAAAACTCATATATACAAAAAAAAGACCACTGCATTTATATTAACAAACATTTTACAAATTCATTAATAACAACTGAACATATATAAAAATTGCAAGTCTATACGACTTAAAAAGAATCGATTAAAAAGAAATGAAAAAAATTGGAATGATGTAGAAATTTTGGAAATAAAGCAGTTAACTTTTTCATATCCTGCACTAACTTCTTCACATTCTTTATGGAACCTAAACATCTTTCAATTCCTTTCCCTATTTCACTTAAAGTTCACATTTGGAAGCTCTGTAATTATGATTACGAGATTTTTATAAATATTAGCTTACTTTGTTAATTTTTCCGCTTTCAGAAGCTTTTAGTTCTCCAACTGCTTTATTTAGTTCAGCAATCTTCTGTCCATATTGTTGCTTAGTTTCAATCAATATTTTCTGATGTTTCGATTCCAAATCACTTTGTGCTGATGCGAACATTCTTTCCTGCAAAGTAAACAGTGATGTTTATTTCTCGTCCTGAATTTCTCATTCAAACCGTCAAACGATTTGATTTTGTTGCATATTTCGCTAAGTTCAATCGGATTTCTTCTAATCCCATTGTTATAAAAATTTTGTGCTGTTTTTTTATTTTTTTTTTTTTTTCTGATTAATGATAATGCATTATAGAAAGAAAAAATGAATAAATAATATGAAAAAGTTCCCATTGTACTTCAACCATCCATTCCTTACTAAGAATTAGGTATAACAATGACACTTTTTTGAAATAAAGTAAAGCCAACACATATGTCGTTTCCGAGTCTGTAATTTAATAAGTTTATCATTACCTTTTCAATAACTTGTTCTTCAAGTTTCGAAATTTCATTCCTAAGTTCCATCAAAATGACATCATTCTTTTGCTGTTGAACAACGCTGTCATTCTAGAAACAGAAAATAATTCAAGCACTACGTAATTCATTTAATGGAAGAATGATTTTTTCAAAGGTGACATGAAATAAAGCTTCAAATTTCAATTCAAATAATCACAGTTTCTGACTCTGGATTCTTGGAAACCCTTAAATTTGGATATTTTATACAATAATATGCTCTAAATAATTGTTTCTTCGGTGATCCTCCTTGAGGTACATTTTTTTAATCGTTTTTTATTTTTATGTATTAGTGACAGTTTTCATTCTAAAATAAATAAAATTAAAATAATAAAATCTTAAGTGAATTTATTATTTACCTTACATTTTTCCATTTCTTTCCTCATTTCATCGCACTCAGATCGAGCCAACTGAGCATCTTGTTGCAATGCCTGAGTTTGTACATCAATATCCATCAACAAACGTTCATTTTCTTCACGTAACTCACGTAATTCCTTTCGCAGTTTTGCGATTTCATCATGCTTCATACTAAACTTACTTAAATTCTTATGTGTATTTTAATCAACAATAGAAAATTTGTTACAATGTTCCTTCCTATATTATTATAAAATATAATATAAAGTTAATCACACTGCAACCTTATAAATCCTTCCTTCAAATCAGTCCGAAACTTTCAATTTAAGCCTACAGCTTTACCCAAAATTCGACATGAACCTAAAAATTCGAGTATTTCAAAACTGAGGACAAACCTAATCTCATCGCGAGCTGACTGCAGTGAGGTAGCTAATGTGAGCACTTCATCTTCTAAGCTTGCTTTCGCCGACAATTTCTCATTTTCAGCTTTGAATGTTTCTAGAAGTGCACTGGTATCAGCGAAAGCAGTGCGAACTTCTTCTAGCTCCTTCGTCAGCATTTTACACTTCTTTTCGTATTTCTCACTGAATTCAGAAATACAATGATATAAATAAAGGTCGAAGAAAATTTTTGTTTCTTAATAATTCAGTAAAAACAGTGTTACTTTACTTAGCAGGCAAAGTTCACTTTAACAATAAATTTCTTTTACCTATTTTCCTGATTCCTCATCATTTCCTGCTCAGTCACTAACAGACGTTTGCTTTGTTTTTCTTCATCAATTTCCAGAATTTTTAATTTTTCTTGGAGAGAACGAACTTCCTCTTCGAGTTCATCAATAGTTTCTCGAGAGGAACGATCCGCTTCCTGAAAACAAGTTTTGAATAGTAAATGATTTGTTAACATTACTATTACCTATAACTATTACTTCAATTTACATAACATATCTAGTCTAATCTCGTCTTATTCAGCTCAATCTTCAAGTGTGCAAGTTAAGTCAGTGACAGACACAGGACAGATTTAATTTATACCGCTAATCTACCCACATCAGCATCTATTTCGGCTTTTTCTAGATCTGCAGCCTGAGCGGATATTTTATTCCTTGCTTGCTTTAATTCTTCTCGCAATAACCGCACCTGAAACGAAGTTGTTCTTATGCACTTCATCTGAACTGATTGATTATGGAGAAGTCCGGTTGAGATCATAACAAAAAGTTTTAAAGAGTCAAGAAAAAGTATAAACGAAATAATGCAATTTCTTATTGCAACAGAATGATTGAAATATTATAGAACTAATTTAGTCCCAAAATTACCTGCTCATCAACACTACGCTGTTTATCAGTTTGTATCCTCAGAACGTTTAATTCCTCTTCTAGATCAATGATTTTCAACCGACAATTTTTTGCTTCATGTTCTGCTTCCTGTGTTCGCGTTTCTTCCATTTTTAAACTCTGCTTCAAATCCTAAAATGAAAGACAAAGAACTCAACTTCCTCAAATTTCTTCTTAGTATCTGCTAAAGTAATTTGTGTGTTCATTATTCACTGACTGACAAATACCTTTACATATATAAATTAAGAAAATTAATTGTTCCCATTTAGGAAATGAAAAAATCTAATAAAACTTTGCTCATTATTCGAATATAAAAAACAGATTTCCTCAGATACTTCCTTATTACGTGATACAGTGCATATTAATTTGGAACAACAGTTCAAATATGTTAGATCAAAAGTGCAATACTTCCATTTCTAAACAATATATAAAACAAGCATAAAGGCACTTGCAGATAAGATAAAATTTATTCGTAAAATTTAACAAATAAAGGAACCAACACTATGTTTTATTTCCTGTTGTTTTATTTCTTCTTCAAATTTCCTTCTAGCATCTGCCAAAGCATTGTTTCCCCATGTGATTTTTGCTTCGGTATCTTTTTTCAAAGCATCATACCTAAGTTAAGCAGTTAGTAAGTAAAAACATCACATATAAGGTAGAAGAATAGATCATTGTGCAAAGTTGTATTTTAATTTGTCAGATAAAGCTTACAGTTTACATTGATATTACTCCGTAGAACCAGTGAGATCAAGAGTGAAACGAATGATTCAGAACTGTCATATACTATCAGCAATATTTTATATGATTTTGAAAAGGAAATATGAATTTATTTATGTTGTTATCACTATTACTAGAATGATTATATTCGATTAGACTTTACTAAGACCTTCATGTAGCGAATAACCATCTTTAGATCTTTCAAGAATGAAAATGTTTTGAAAAATTCAATAATGTCAATAACAACAAGTTAACAAAATGATTGACAAAAGAGCATGAGAAGATTTATCCACAATTTCCAACTCCTATTTCAGGTTTAGGATTGAGATGTGAGGAATCAAAACAATATTAGGCAGTATATACCAAAAATAATCCCTTGCCTTGTCTCTTCTACATTACATCCGTTTCATTCTTTTTTGTTCATACCTTACTAAATCTCAGACTAACAATAGTTATGCTAACAGGTATCAAACTCCCACAAAACGGAAGAAAATATTTTTTGAAAGATTAAATATAGGAAAGAATTTCAGCAGCGTTGTAAGCAATACCTTACAGCAAATGAATTTATTATTAAAATATTCAAAACGTACTTTTTCTCACATTCTACCAGATTTTTTTGGCTTTCTTCCAGTCTTTCACTTAATTTCTCCGCATCTAATTTATATTTCTCTATGTCTTCTCGAAGCTGTGATATTTCATGCACTTCCTGAAATTCCCTATTTTAAAACGAATACCAAAAATTCCTTCTCTTCATAATTTCACTAATTTTCATGAAATTTTCCAAAACAAATAGACCTTAAAAAGCAAACTTTGCTAGAGCGCACGCTAAAAGAATAATTCCAGTTTTTTACGGAGCTGAATCAAGCTGAAAACGTTGAATCACAAACTTTACAACTTAGCAGTTGCAGTTTAGACTACAGATTGAAGTTTGCTTACATTGTTTCGCATGGATGATAATTCAACTTCTCTCTTCTGCATAGTTTCTAGTGCAGAATTGAGTTCACTCTGCAACTTTCCAATTTCCTAAATTTTAGGAGATTCCAGTATAACCTTGAACTTCCAAAAAAATTAAGTTTTCAGGTTATAAGTGCTTTATGAAGATATTAGTTCTGTTAAACTAAAATGACGTACTCGAAAATTTAAAAGAAACTGAAGAAATTATAAATTAATAAGCAATAAAAGAAATTACATCACTCTGTTTGGACAATTCCGCTTCCTTCTTTTTTGCATTTTCTCGCATGAAATCCAACTCGCTTTGAAGATTTCTAAGTTTCTAAATCAAATGGAATAGTGCAACAAAAAAATTCTTTAATATTTTTATAAATATCTTAAAACATGCATTTTATGATCTAAAGGGAAAATAATTCTGATGAAAAAAAAAAAGAAAACTGAATTAATATCAGTAGACTGCAGTGCTTTACATAGTCAGAGAAATTTTGATTGTAATGAGGTTAGATTTTCAAGAAAGTTGATATATCTTTCAAGAGAACTGATATGTCCTTTGGCTGGAATTATTTTACAAAAGTAATTTATCGTTCTATTACAGAAATTTCATGAAGTACAGCTTACTTCTCCACTCTCTGATTTCACTTCCTCAATTTCGGAAGCGCGTCCCTTAATCTCATTTCGGATCACATCAATTTGACCTCTTAATTCCTCATTTTCAGCTGTTAACTGAGTTATCATTGCTGAGTCTGCTTCATTCGTCTTGATATCCTAGAAAGATCACACTGAAATTAAGAAAGAGGGGAATCGATATATGAAACAGATATTATTAGAAATGAGATACTTAATTACCTGTTTGGCAAGCATTAAGCTTTGCAATGCAGCTGATTTCATCTGTAAATCGCGCTGCAACTCTTCAATGCTACTTTTTAGTTGGACCTTCTCATTATTCATTATCAAACGAAGTCTTTTTGACTCATCTTGAGCATTTTCTACTTGCTGATTTTTGCATCGCACTTCTTCTTGCAAATTGTGCACGTCTGTATTAAGCTGTGATTGAACAGCCTGAAAATCTCAGTGATATGATATGCAGCAACCGCAACATTATTATTGAATTGATAGTGTTGCAGCTGTTTCTGAACACTTCAATAGGAAAGAAAATGATAATATAATTTCATTTTTGATTAGAAAATATTTTTTGCTATTAATATCAATGCTTTATCAAACCTAATGCGTTCATTGACAACTTTCTACTTTCCTGGAAAAGAAAAAAACATACAAAAGAATTGAATTAAAACTAACTAAAATATCGGTGATTTGTTTCTTCAACTTTTCATTCTCATCTTTCAGTACATTGCATTCTTGTTGGTCTGAAGTAACGCGATTTGCATCTGCTAATTGCGCTATTAAACTGTTAATCTAAAATTAAGATAATGAAATTTGCGATTATGATTGACTTTCAAATTATAAATTGAATTTTCGTCCTTCTTCTCTTACACTTAATACTCAGCATAATTTTTTTGAATGGATTTGAAATGGCTTAAAAATATCGTCGATTATCTATAATACTTTCTATAATACTGTCGTTTATCTATAATACTTTGAAAATGAATCATTAATTTATCTTTGAAAGATTACCTGCTATGGTTAAATGGTTGAAAACAAAACAAAAAATGCATCTGCAGAGGGCACTTTTTTCGTTCAAGGACAAGTAAACTTATTCGTAGAAAAAAAGAAATTTATGAAAAAAGACTAAAAAATGAAACCTGCATGAAAAGTTCTTGTTTTTCAGCCTGTTCCCGATCCAGCTGCATGGTTAGTTCCCGTTTTTGGCCTTGTAACATCTGGACATCCATTGGTTGCTTTGCTTCCAACGCACGCTTCTGATTTTCCCATTGTTGTCTGGAATATTAAAGTCCAACTTAGTTTGATAATAGCATCATAAGCACAGACACATAAACTTTCATCTTATGTTACTAAAACTTTATTTCCAATAATCGAATAGTATCATAGAAATCGGTCCATCCCACTAATTGTCACTTGAATCACTGTACTCGAAATGAGTTTTCGAAAATGGCTGGAAAGTTCAATCCACAGAAACCAGCCTAATAAATCCATGTAAGATCCTTCATTTGTCATGTAACCGAAAAACTTTTGGTAGTTTGTTTTTTTTTTTTTTTTTTTTTTTTTTTTTACAAGATAACAGCGGCTATATAGTGATATTAATTAGGAATAATAACAGTGCTATACACTGCCTTCTCGATTTTAATAGGTATAAATTCTACCAATTACAGATGAGATGAGATGATCATTTTTGTGATATCACCAATTTAAGTATTATCTAAGCTGAGAAAATTTGTAAACTGAATTCATATACTGAAAAAGAAACAAATAGTTACCTGTCTCTCTCGAACTTTTCCACCTTCTTTTTCAATGAATCGCATTCCGAAGTACGCTCTTTCAGAGCTTTCTGCAAATTGAAAATTTGTGATGAAAATAGCTTCAAATGCTATTTTGTAAATGTTCTTAACAAAGTATCAACATATGTCGTAATGGATATCTCAAGAAATATTACTAGTAATCATATTTGAACTAAACTAGGGGAAATATTACCAAATACTGTCGATTCATTCCCTCAGTGTCAATACGATTTTAAAATCAAGGTGAGAACCGGCTGCATACTTCCAACTGAATACTCATCGTATCAAGCGAAATAAGTAATTAATCATTAAGCAATTTTAATTTAATTTCGTTCAGATCTTAATTAAATAATTAAGTACTCCTTTCTATCTTATCATCATCCCTTTATTGTTTGAAAAAAAATCAGATACATTAGTTCCTATTAATTGCACACTTTTTAACTGTATGAGTTGTCGCTATACATGCCGTGACAGCTTTTTTTTGCATGCAAGCTATACTTTCAGTCATAATGGAAAGATTTAAAAAGTTCAAAATGTGCATGTGAATTCAGTCGTTAATTTAATAATTTATTATTCATTCTCGATGTAGGAATAAGTCATTATTATCTCCTTCATTTAGTTAATAAAAAATCTTTGAGGAAATTTCTATAACTTTGCATTTTCATCTAACTTCTCTTCCTGCACATGTTAAAAGGGGTAAATTTCAATCAGTCAGATCTGCAGAGTAAGCATATTTGCACACTGCAGATATGCACATCAAAGATTTTATTTGTGTGGTAAATTTAATTTCAATGATTCAATATATCAAATCTATGACTGCATAATCTATTTTAGTAAATGAAAACCTCTAATATTTAATATGAAAGTAATGCTTGAATAGTCTGATAACTTCATTGCTGAATATTCTACCCAATTTTGCAAATATGATTATCACAATGAAATGTAAACTGAAACTTATTGTCCTATCAACAATGTTTACTAACCATTATTTACACAAATAACGGTCAATCTTAGTCAAGGCATACAATTCTTAGTCATACATAATTTGTCACTTCCTTTCACTAGTGTTTGTCTTCCCTTTCCATGTAACTTTTTCATAAGCAGATGAAGTTAAAAGCAGATGAACTATTTCTTAAAGCAGGTGTAGATGAGATGAATTATGAAGCGATGTCTCTATCGATGATAAATCTGAATAAACATGCTTATAACTTTTTAAATTTACTTCGTTGAAGTTTAGAAGGTAATCTGTTATTACCTGTAATAATTCAACATTAGTTGCATTCATTCCAAAATATTTCCTGTTGAGACAGCTTTTTATTTACACATCGATAAAATAAGAATCGTTCGCATCATGCATAAAACTTTTAGTACTGCGATGGACAAATTATTTGACGTGTAAAAAAAGCACAGAGATGAAAGCGTCTGATCGTAGGTTAAAAGCTCAGCAGAAAATTTAGTATGGTTGGTTTAATCCTAAATTAAAATTAAACAAAATATTTAACGAATTTATACCCTAAATATCCCAATATATACGAAATGGACCGATAAAATCTGAATTTTGACACGAAATAATAACTGTACATTAGAGCAGATTATAAATTGATTTATAATTAATAATAAAAGTGAGTAAACCATTTAGTGGACAAGTTTTACCTAATTATATGCAAATCTATTTCCTTCTCCTGCATTCTTCTTTTTTTCTTAATGATGTATTCTACAAATAATTTGAAAAGGAATTTAAATCAAAGAGTGATGAAGATTTCTTGGAATCTCAGTATTACCGAAATGTAATCTAATTTTTCTAATTTATATTGATCTCATGGAAGACTCAAAGAGAAAGGAAAATGATGATTGAGAAAGCAACAAAATGGTACAATGAAAGATTTCAAAGTATTTTCGGAGATGATAACATGCATAAAGCAAAAGGAAGTTAATCAACTCATCCGTACCATTTCTAGAAAGGATCAAATATACACAAGCAGATATCTCACAGTAATTCAGAAACAGTAATCGAAGTTTACATGAAAGAGTAATGAAGTCACATTCGATTATCATTATTCTAGAAAGTAAAAGAGAAGAGCAATATAAGCAATTTGTAGGATTTTCTTAATTATTCATCTGAAAGCCTTATTCATTTGCTATATTGAAATTACATATTCTCCCAATTAATTTTTTGAAAAAAAAGACCACCAAAGAGATTCAAAAAATTTGAATGTTTGGTAATTTTGCTTAAAATATTTTAAAGCAGTCTTAAAATTTGACAAAATTTACATAAAGTACATATAACAAACAAACAATTCAATTCTACAACTATTTCTGATGATTTCTGACAAGTGGGATGTAATAATACAACAATGAAAGATATATGAAATTTTCGCCACTCTTAAAATATTTGCCAGAATTGGACTTCACAAATCGATCATTTCTCCTAATAGTGATGCATTCTAATATCGGATTTTTAACCACAGAGTAGACAGTATAATACCATTTACAATCTGTACAGTTCTGAGGAAAGAAAAGTTCGATTGAAAAATTTCATTTTCATTGATACTTAGAACTTAATAATACTAATGCATCTAAGTTATCAGAGAAAATTATGTAAATATTATAGATGTGAAGATTGGAGGAAAGTAAGAAATAATGCAGCAATAATAGCTTCTCACTACCCAATGTCATTCGTTATGGTCGAGGCGATATTTAAGATACGCGACGCTGCTGTCGTACTAACGACAAAAACTAGAAAACAAGTTTTGCAAATGGCACTTCGTCCTCTCTTCCAAATCGTCACCATATGCTTGCTGTCACATTCTTTCTTATGTAATACATAGTTAAGCTAAACAGCTGTACACAATGCTATCATTATGATGTTAACGAACTTGGATAATGCTTTAGCTAATAGATCTTACGGATCTTTAGTACATTACGTAATGACATAACAAAGAACCGTAAGATTTTCACTTGTTCCACTTTGCTTAAGATAATTTGAAAGAGAAAACTTTTCCAGTTCATATTTCATACCAGTTCGTAAGTATATCTATGATTCTTGATAGAAGTTAGTGGTTCACCAAGCATTAAAATCCTAGGATAATATCTTAGCTATTAGATTTTCTTTCTTGAACAAAATTTGATTACTTTTTCTGTAATAAAAATCTTAGCAAACTTGTTAATATTTTGTACGGAGCTCTCTGATAATTCGAATGGTTTAATTCGACTTGAGATATTTGTACCGAAGTTTGGATTTAAAGCTATTAGGACAATGTTGATTTTTTTTTTTTTTTTTTTTAAGCGATTTGTGAAATATACAAAAAGCAGAAATCTTGCCAGAAACTCTAACAACATTGGACAAAATTCTTCAGTACTTTTTTCTACTAAATTTATTAATGTAAAGAGTAAATTCCTAGAAAAAAAACCCATAGATATATATTATAATCTCAAAAGTACCAAATTTTCGACCTTTCAAGCGTCCTCCAAACCACTACACATTCTTAACAATGTTTTTTTTCTAAAAAATTTCAGATTTAATTTACTGACAAAATGATGTGAATTGGCAAAGACTCAGAAAGGAAAAAATTTAGTTTAAGTGGAAAGAATAATTACGGTAATGATGACTAATGGTTAATTATTAGGTATCTGCCAGTGCGTTGACGTTTAAATTTTTGAGAATTAATATATGTCTAAACTTTCAATAATTTTTTTCCGTAATGTACTTTCAACTTGTCGATTTTCATTAATGAAGAGAAAAAAACTATGGAAAAGTTGTCAATCTTATTGTAAACGAACTAATATTTTCGTGATCGAAGCTCAGAGATTGGTAATTGTAATAGAAATAAATTAATATAAATACGTAAATGCTGGTTTTAGCAATTTATTTAATGCTGGAAAAAAACAGATAAAATTCATCTGGAAATCTGGAAAATAAAGAAATGTTTCAAAAACTTTCTAGACAAACTAGAACTTTACAGATTAACGTGTTTGTGTTGAAGCATATTATTATCACATTATCTCTTAAATGATGAAATTAGCAACTGAGTGACGATTTTAAAACAATAAAAGTAACAAGTTGTGTTTTAAAGCAAATTTCCCATTGAACTCTTAACATATATTTTCAAACTATTTTCCAAAATGATGAAAATAATGAACGAAAACAAAACGATGTCAAATTGTTAGCACCAGCGGGAAAAATGGAAATATTTTTTCTGCTTCCTGATTGACGAGCAGAATGATTTGATAGTGATGATGAATCAACAAATTAAACATTAAGCATTCGAAGAGACGAATGGAGAACTGAAGAAGGAAGAAGAATGAGAAGAATCAAGCAAGAATACAATCGATTATAATGCACTTAACGAGTCCTCATATAACAAGAATAGAAGGAACTATCGCTAACAGGAAAATAAAACAAATTTTATCAGAAGATAAATGATGATGATGATAAGGTAATGAGATAATGGTGATGATACGATGATAACAATATGATACTACAATTTTGTCGTCGAGAGCAATCGTTGAGGGGAATAAAGTATTGATATTTCTTATTCTATTCTCTTTTAACGATTAAACATGTTCAATTATCAATCATAATAATATATAACAATAATGATAAAGATATCATTGTATTATTTGCTATAGCATCTAGGAAATTTTTTCCGTACACAAAGATGATCAAAGACGAAATAATTTTGATCAAATTAAACAAATTAATTCTTCTCTGGTGTCCACAATGGTAATAATAACTGCAGTAATTATAAAATGATTGCAGTAATCATGATAATAATTGCAGTAATCATAATAATCACTGCATTGGTATTCAATTAAACAAACGAAGAATAAAAAGGATGCAATGATCTGAAACTCAGAAAAGGAAACAAAGGATATTTCTATGACAAAGGAAAAAGTTTGCAGAAATTTAAATATGGTACCCCAAATATAAAAACATCATAAAACTTCCAAATATAAGCAATATTTAAAATATTCCACAATATGCTGATGATATCACAAGAAGTTTATGTGTCTCCAAATGTACCTTTCGACATGCTTTTTCAATTTCCATAAGTTATTTGAAATGATCGCTTTTGTCTTGCAGTCAAAGCTTAATAACATGAATTGAATCAATCAAAACCAGTAATCTTGATGACTGACAATAAGAGGTATTATTATTTCGTTTAAGGTCCTACTCAACACTTAAACACCGCTTTTTAATCGAAAGTCCCAAAAATTAATGTTATACGAACTTTTTGAAATTCAACAATGAAATACTCAAACACACGTAAAAATGACGATATATAACGTTTACTGGAATCAGTACGAATGTGAGTACAGCAAGGTACTAAGCATCTTCTCCACTAGAACATAACTTAGACAAGTACAAGAAAGTAAGTTATGATTATAGTTTAGGTAATAACAGTTTCCTACTCAACCTTTTTCCTTTATGAAAGATAGATAATTCTTTCAATGCGATTACAAGTATTAGATCAAATAATTGTCAGATTTTCATCTAATAAACAATTTTGTTTTATTTTTATTACTTTGCTATTACTTTCAAGCTATTTAATTATTTAGTTTTAAGTGATGTGAAAAATTAGTACAAATTAAGTAGTACAGAATGAATGCCAAACAACTTACTATTTCACTTTTCATCCATCATTTATTAAATGAATGTGAAAGATCTTCTCCCCTTAAAACATGAAATAATTTGAAATATTTCCATAAAATAGAAAATGAAAGCATAAACAAGCTAATTAATGCTTCCCATCTAATTTTAAAAACTCAAATATTTTCTCTTTGATTAATCATTAAGCAGAAAATGCAATCCAATAAATGGGATTTCTTTTTAATAATTGATGAAGTTAAAATGCTTAAAAATAAACCATTGAAGGTAGTTTAAGCTATTCATTCCTTTCTAACTGAAGTTTTTTTTAGGATATATCAAGAGATAACTATTAATTTAGATATACCAAATATGCATCACGGGAATCTTATACATCCAGTAAGTTCTTGCTCTCCTTTCTCTTTCTCTAAAATTAGACTAAATCTTCACTGACTAAAACATTCTACTTTCTCAGATTCCTTTCAAGAAAAGAAATGTTTTTTCTCAACATATATCGATCTATAATTAATATTGAGAGTTAAAGAAAAAATACTCTCTCAACAACCTTATTTTTTTCCATATAAATGTTCAACTATAATTGTTGAAAATATTCAAGAATTATAGTATACATTGACTCTTTCATATGTTATCATTCAGATACTTTCAATATCACTTTTTCTAGACACATAAAATTTCAGCTAGTTGAGGAGGTTCTCGCAAATGCTCTTACAATGGTTAATCAATCTGCAGCAGATGAATTGGTTTGCATCTAGAATTCTTTGAATACAGAGAATTATTTATATAATTATTCATTTATCTAATAAGATCTTCGTTAATGAGCAAAGGAAAAGTCTGTAGGAAAGATCTCACTCGATGAATGTAAACAGTAGAAAATAATATAAATGTAGAAATAAGAAGTAACAAAATTAGCTGAAAATTTCGCTTTCTTAATAATTTGAATAATATTTGTATCACTAACGTTACGCTAATGTTACGTACGTTATTTATAACATCAGTCAGTGCTATACATATTACATTATATCACTAACATTACATACGTCTGATTAATCTAAGTGATATTTTTTTTTTTGATAGCTAACAAAATCACGATTAAAACTAGCAAAAAATTATGATTACATTAGAATCAGATAAATGCGGTGACGCAGATCAGTAATCAGATGAAGAAAGAAGGTGACATGAAGAAATCGATTTTGCAGAATAATGAAAATGATACGGAAGAGAGAGGGTCGTTTAACGACCTGCAACAAGCACGATGTCACTGGATACAACTTGATAAACTTGACTTACAAGTAATTGTCACGTTTATCACTTTCTCCTTTAAAATGTCTCAATCCTCAAAACTTTAATTACGCTACCTGTTCAACTACTAGTGTGACTAAAATTAGTAGATTCTTTTGATATTAATATGACTGCACCGTTCCAAATTTGTTTCTAATCTGAATCATTTCGCTGCATCTAATAATGAAATAAAATTTGCTAGCAATCTAAAACGTTAAAGTTTCACTTTTATAGCTTAAAGTAATTCAGTCAACAATTGCATATGTAATCGAAAATTTTGAATCAATGCGACTACTTTGGAGCTTTGGAAAAAATTATGAAAAGGAGAAACTGTACAATGATCAAAGATTTCAGTTAGTTTTGTTAATTATCATTATAAAGAAAGATTCTAGATGGATGCAAATTAATCTTCTTTGCCCTGTGCTGCTTTCCAGACACATACTAATGGTATTTTTCAGCGATTATTGCACCTGTTTCCAAACAGCACTGAAAATGATCATGGAATTTGTGGATGAGCCACGTGATATGTGCAAACTGATCCGTAATATCGGAGCTCGGCATTTCTTCTACAATGTCTACGAACCACATACTGAGGAAATGCTCAAATTGCTAATTAGATAAGATTATCAACGTCAGGAAATGTATGAAATGATAATTAGCAGAATGAAAGGATGCAACTTTAGCTACAAAAAGTGAAAAAAAAAAGAACAATCATAAAAGTTGCTCTATCAATGAACGTTACTGTAAGATCCGAAAGATAGGATTGCAATTTCATCCTGGATGATTTGAAGAGTTCAATAACTAAACCAGCAGTGTTGTGTTTGAGTTAAAAATTGATAAAGCCATAAATATTACTACACTGGATGTAATTTTCCTCTTTGTTGGGATTCTCATTTCATTTCATAATGAACTTAAAAAAGAATTTATCTTGTAGTTTCCATATGAGATACGTTATGATTTAGCACATTAGACATTTTTCTGGATAAAGTTTTTTTTTTTTTTTTTTCTTTCATCCTGCAAACTTATGAATTCTTCTCCTGAGTGACCCCATTATAGGTAATGTGTAAATCGATGATGACCGCTTTATGTGAAGTAGCCACAGACGATATGAATGAGAAACAAATGCAGTGTTGGCATGCGGCAAGTCACTATGAAAAATTAATCTCACCCAAGTTTATGTAAAAACAATTTAACAGTGATGATGATAAATTAGCATTCTGTTCCAAAATTTTAACTGTAACCTCGTATAGAACATAAACATATCATTCACTTTTTTATTTACCTTACAGCATTTGAAAATATCAAAAAACTAGACATCACAGCTATCACTGGAATTATAATTCTAGAATTATAAAATTCAATGACTACTAAATGATACAAAGTATTTAGCTGTTCCAGCTGTTTGCCCTTTTTGGTGGAAAAAATTCATATTAAAAAAGAAATTTTAATAGTGCACATGAAATATTATTATTTTTAGTTCTTCGATGAAATTCAAAAAGCTTTCAACGATGGACTTGCAAATCAACGACAAAATTATCTTCAGAAATGCATGTCAAAAAAAGAAATGAAAATTTTAAAAACTATCTGGCGGCAAATCCAAACCAAATATATGAAGGAAGATGGAAATCTAACAAAGTGTAATGCTTTGGTTAGTACTGATCTCTAAGTACAATTAGGCTATTCTACTTACTGGAAAAATAAATCAAAGAAGTCTCCCATATAAAAAGATAATTTAAATATTTCAAAAACTTTCTACGTTTCACCCCTATTTGCTGTGGTAAGAAATGGAACTTTAAGGAAAATCTAGAACTTAATAAAATGTAATTATAGATGTACGAAGCACTCCAATATCACTGTGAAAAGATACCTAAAACAAAGAAGTATATAAGAAAACTAAAAGAAATTGCCCATCAGAGCATTGATGTAAGTTTGACTGATAAAATATAAGAGATTAACTACAGAGCTTTGCAAGTAATATTAATAAATAGGCCTACCAGATTTTACAACTTCATTGTTTTGAAAAATTTTTATAAAACGAATATTTCTTTGCAAACTATTTATTATAACGATTTAATAGTATATGCAGGCAGTGGACAAAATAATAGATGCATATGATAGCACCTGTGGATTAGCAGAGTTGAATGACCGATTCGATTCTTACTGTTACCTGTGCTGTACTTTAGGTGAAAGTCCACGAACCCTTTGGATTGCCTTTAATACAGGTAAGTTCATTTGGTTTTAAAAGTTTTATCTCAAAATTTAAATTTTATTTTGTCTATTGTCAGCTTGAAAGTTTGAAAAAATTAATATATTTTTTTTAGTATAAAAAACGCATAATTATTTCTGAAAAGACATGTCATCATTTCCATATTATCAATCAACTCGACAAGAGCTTCAAACGCTACTTGTTTTGATAAAAAAATTCCTTGTTACATTATTACTTATGGGAATGATGAAAAAATATTAACCTATAACAACTAGTCCTATTCTTCACTATTGAAAAGATGTTGAAGATAATTTCGACTAACAAATTATCTTGAAAATTCGATTTTGCAGAATTTTCAATTCGAAAAAAATTTTAAGTATAACCTCGAAAATTTTGAAAATTTCATAAGCTTTATGATCAGCCAAATTCTATCTCGACTGTATTTTAGGTTTTGCAAATATCATTACTACCAAAGTAGATGAAGATAGAATTTGGGTAAAACAAATCTGGTGCAAGATTGCCCGCATCTTAGAACAGGTATAGTTTGAATGTAATCGAATAAAAGAGACAATTTTTTCTTGCTTGTTAAATGATTAATTTCAGTTTTTTTTTTTTAAATTTTTTTTTAAGATCTTTTTTTAGATTTAAAGAAAAAAATTTTTTTTTCCAGTTAGATCTTTACTTCGCAATACAAACATTCCGGTTGAATTGAAGATAAATTTGAACGAAATGATTAGTTTCAAAAAATTTTGTTTACTTTTGGTCTTAGTCAAAATGGAGGATCCATTAACCAAATTTAAAAAGAAAGCTCATAACAAAAAAGAAAACTAAATAAATAAAAATAATACCATTGATTGCATCAATTTTGAGGTTATCAAAGAGTTTATTGTGTCGAATTTGTGCAATAAACAGAAGTTGGAATGGAATGAAATTTGAAACTTGCACTCAGCAACTTTGTGATGTTTATAAACAATTATTCATTGAATGTTTATAAAGATCGAATGGATAATGGATATTCGTAAATAGTTGGACTAAATGGAAATGGAAATTTTTAAACATGAAGTGTACCCAGCATTATGTTCCTTTTGAGGATTCTAAGTTTTGCAAATACCAGTGGTACTATAGCTTTCACTAAAGGTTATGTCAGGTAAATTATACTAAGAGCAGTACTCTTCAAAATTCTCGAAAATAATGAAATTAACACACCTTTCTGCTTCACGCTACTATATGGCTACTTAATCTCAAATTATAAGGTGAACTGAGAACGATATCAATATATGACGCTTAAATAATAAAGTAAGCAATAAACGATGTAAAGCATAAAATGATATCATTGTATCAAACATTTCATCACTTCTTACTATATAATTTCTCAGTTTGCATATAGAAATGAACTTACTCTAAGTTCCTTCTCTTGATTTAAAAAATTTGTGCTATTTGCGGTGACCATTGAACCAAGTTTCGCATTTAGCTGTTGATTCTATAACAAAGCATGTTTTTCTTATTCCCAAATTAAAGATGTAAATTTGAAAAAAGTAAGGAATGATAACAATAGTTTATCAACGAAGTAAAGTAATACTATCTCGACATGATCGGTAATGCCTACAATTGCTTAACTTTTTATAAATTTATTGATAAGTGTAAAACTCTAATATTTTTCTTATGAAAAATTAGGAATTTGATTTTTCTTTACAATCGTCTGACATATCAAAAGAGATCATTCGTTTAGTATGTCATTTTTGAGAAATAAAAAAAGAAAACAGAATTCTGATAATTGCTTTTCTAATAACGATATATAAATAACATTTAACGAAATGCAATCAAAAGTAATCTCACGCATCGATGAGCGTTTCCAATTTCTTCTTCAAGTTGCCGAAGTTGTACATCTTTCATTGCCAGTTGTTCACGATGCAACACTAAATTTGCTTCCAGTGATGTGATCTAAAGTGACATAAGTATAAACGATAAAATCTTTCGTAGCAAAAAGACTTTCAACGGTGAATTTCTTTCGAAGTTGAAGTGAAAAAAAGTTAAACATTTTTCTCAACACATTCTTTTACCCGAAAAAAATTTTCGAAGTTAATTTTGGTGCTAAAATAAACTAATTCAGAATTCAGACTTATCACATTTATGAATTATTTCAGATATAGGATTAATTTCATTGAAAAACCAAGAAAATCTTACCTGATGCTGATGATTCTCACAGCTTCCATCAATTATATTCCCATTTGGATTATTTTTTATCATTATTTCATGCTCAGCACTGTTCCTCAACTTCAGGATATGAATCTGTTGAAAATACTTATATTATAGAATTTGTGAATAAAGATGAAGAATTATAAAGCGAATAAGGCAAGTTAAAATTAAGGGAAGCAACAAAAAGTGGAAAAAATCTCGAAAATTTAAACGTTTTGTAATAATATATTTCTTTAGTTTAGAACTGTGCAATAACAGAAAATAAATTATTGCAAAATGCAATCTTGAGATCTCATTTTATAAAAAGTTTCAAAAACCAAAATATAGATATCAAGCAAAGGAATGAATTACAAGATCAAGAGACTGATGTGAATTATTCTCAAAGTGGAGAGAAAATTGTTCATATTTCTTGGCTCATATAAAATAAGTTTAAAGTATCCGAGAGAATGAAACAGGTGTGATAGAAAATGCATTCCCAGAATTGAAATTCCGGACCTATTTTAAAAGAAAACCTATAGTGTTTACTATCTGAAATTGAATGTGGTAATAAAATTATTTTAAAAAATAAAATATAATAAATCGATATGAGAAGTACAATGAAGGAAGGTATGGTAATCTTTAAAGTATCTCAATATCAGTACAGTTCAACAAGTCACAAAATAATGCGCAAACTAAAGGACGAAAAATTGTGTTAGACAATAACTGCGAATGACGTTCACATCAGATATGTATACCAGTTAACACAGATTTTAAATGGTGTAAAAAGCAACGGTCATACAAACCAGATTTTTAATTAGTTCCTGAAAATTTGAGGATAAATAGTGCTTTTGTGAGAATAACATTTTCATTGGAAATGAATCGACATTGAACCAATAAAATGAATCATTTAAACGATCCCGAAAAAAAACAAAAAAAAAAAAACACTATAGCAAAAAAGCAAAATTCACTTCATCGTTTTTTTTCTAAGTTTAATTTCATCCTCTACCTGACTTAACCAACAATTGTTTTTAAAGATAGGAAGCTGAGTGTAAATTTTATTATTAGAATTGTTTTGTCCTAACCATGTCCTGCAACTAATTTTAGAACAAATCTGAATAAGTATCTAAAAGGTATAATATTTTAGCGTTAATTGATGAGCACGGTAACCTTGTAGTTATATGAGTACCGCAATAACAAGTTAAAAGAATCAGATTGCCTTAATAAATATAACAATGATTGTTAAAACAAGATTAACTGTGTCCCATACTAGCAATATCATTAACCTAACAGCAATTATTCCAATTGTATCCTTTATAAAATATGTGGACCAACATTAAATTTGAAGGAAAAATTTATATGTGAATCTACTACCGTTTGATGACACCACAGATGGCAAACGGTACCTTATATTTGAATTTGTTATGTTCAATAGCGAAATACTGGGATAGTAGGACACTCATTAATGTCGGAAAAGTAGAAAGAGATAGGTATCCGTTAATTAATAATCATTCTTGAAATTATGCAATAGTTTTCAAAAATCGATGAGCACGGTAACCTTGTGGTTATTGCAATTTTAAAAAGGTCTATGAGAGAAATCATTTTTATAGAGTAATTTAAAAGAGATAGTAGGCGTTTGATCAAAAGTATGCGAATATAACCCTTCTGCTTTTCATAAACAATTTGATAAATAAAGAGAGAAGACAATAACTAAACCGGTAAATGCCAATTTTTCACGAGGTGTTGGTAAACAACAGATAATGTGAGAAAGAAAGCAAAAATTGCATTCTTGCGATTTTCTTTCTTTTAATTGATTAATAAAAATTTAGGAACTTTTCCTTACAGTTTTGCAAAAAAAGTGTACAGAGAGGTTAAACATTGACATAATGTCTCAAATAATAATAATAATAATAATCGTGCAAATGATTACATGGATAGAAGAAATTGACAAAAATTAGGATATTTCACTAATTTATTCCCAAAAATGAATAAGATCTTTACTTAAAATGCAATATTTTCATCCATACAGTGTACCGTAAACGGTAAACGGAGACAACTAGCTTTCCTGGATGAATTTATTTGTGTGTTTCAAACTAGGTATCAATCAAAAATGTAGAGGATTTTTATGATGGCTATTTCACGTTGTAAAAAAAAATTTACCGAGAAGCAGTATAGTGATAGTGTGAAAAAGCTTCCCGGAAATGAGATATCTTAGCAACCAAATATAGAAAATTTGTATGCCAATTATTGAAATGCAACATAGATAAAGATATAATGAAACATAGAAATAGTTGTTGCTGTTAGGTAAGTATACAAAATATCATCTAAAGAACGGGTGTAAAACTTAATTGGCTTATAATAGCTTTTGATTTTTTTCATGAATAGAAAATTTGTAACACTCTCAAAAGAACATCAGCAAGCACTGGAATGAGACTATCAGAGTGTTAACAGATGAAAATCTAGACCTTCTACAAATTAAAATGGCGAAACATTTTTGCTGTCATGTATTGCAGAGAGAAATTTTCTCACCTATACTCTGTGCTGGACAAAGGGGAAAAATTTTTTAAACCATCAGAGTGACTGATATAAATTTTATTGAAAAAGAAGACTGTTAAACTGGTATGTGTCCGATGAAAGAATTTGCTGCACCTCTTCTGTGTTAAATCTGATTAGAAGACACCAACAGCAATAGAGCTTCATAAAAGACAATCAAAACTAAATTAGTTGATTAAATTTATCTTTGTTTTGATGCTGTCAATATCAACATTATAGAATAGTCGATGAAAATTGATACATTGGTATTGTTGAGCCAGGTGACATTCCAATAGTCAATATTTATGAGAGATGTTTTATAAAGTAAAATATTTCTTTGTTGTGGATAGGACATTCAATAAAGTGATCCAAAACTATATTCAAGCTTTTCGTTTTTTCAGTCCAACAATTTTAATATAATATAGATATTATATAGAATATTAAATAGATAAATTCACTGCTAAAATTCATAAATAAATTATCCAAAAGGTTTGTACTGCTTATGAAAATCACTGAGCACCGCTTTTTTTCAAAATGTAGGAAATGCATTAAGAAACTAAACAAATCTTGAACAATAAACAAAAAATATATGTATATATTCGTTAATCTAATTAATTTAATAAATTCTAACTTCATTTATTTGATTCTGCAATTCCATAAGAACCGGCGGATGTTTACGGGCATATTCAACTAATCGTTCACAGTATTTTCGTAAAGTTCCGGAATTTGAAAGCGTTGCTTTATCGTATTCAATCTCTTTCAGTAAATTATTCAAGAAGAGAGATTTTTCATCGTTAATATCTACAGATGGAGTAACAGAATTCAGAACCTATAAAAAAGCATTAAAGTATGAGCTGACCACAATGAGTGATTTTTGAAAATTTAATAATGGTCTATAAATAGAGATTTCTGAAAAAAAAGCATTAACCTCTACAGCTTCATCACGAAATCGATCACTGGGTAACAATAATTTCAACTGATCGATGGCATCTATAATAGACTGTCACCAGTGGAATGAAATAATCAACAGTGGTATTTACATAATTAGATATTTACACATAATTAGATAGTAATGCTGCAAGCAAAAAATAAGATGTCATTATAAGTTTCGAAATAAAACTGAAATTTTAATAAAAAATCAACTTTAGTAGATAAATCAATCATTCATTCTTTAATAAAGCTAAAATTTATTTAAAAAATATTATAAAAATAGGAACTTTATAAGGTTGCTATAAGATTTATAAATAGCAACTTTACCAGCCAACTTGCATGCAAATTTAGCATCACTTGTTTTGTCATAAAATTTGAGCTGTATTTGAAGTAATTGTGCAATTCGTTCCGCTTTAGCCAGTTTTTTTGCTAGCTGAAAATTTGTTCACAAAACACGAGATTAACTAGTAAAAAAAAAAAAAAAAAAACGATTGTTATTTTTTATCTTTTACTTTCCAACCTACAATTTCAACTACTAAGTTATCGGATAACATTAGTTTAGTTGATGCTAAAAACAAGTAAAATTAGTTCAAATAAGTACTAATAATCTCGTATTTCCAAACTGTTCGTGTTCCATAAAGTATTCAAAAATCATCTGGATGCAACGACTCACAATTTATTGAGTAAAAGAAAAAAAAAATGACCAAGAAAGATGACAAAGAAACTCTAGTTTAGTTGGCCAATAAAAAAAAATTAGAAATAGAAACTTACAGTTTTATTAATATTACGTAAAGTCTTGATTTCTTGTAACTTATCTGCATCAATATAATTCTCAGTCTCCTAGAAAACATTGACTAGAGATTCTTTATCTTCAATGAGTCATTCCTTTAGTAGTTTCTGATGATCAGTTGCAGTAATTATTGTTATAATGCGCTTTTGAGAGGGAGACTCATGTGATTTTCATGATGACAAATAACTTAAAATATCATTGAATGGCTGAAACTAAGTGAGATAACTTACAACAGATGAAGTTTCGCAAAAGGATACTTCCTTCTTGTTAAATGGCTCGGAGTGGATGTTCTTTTTTTCCGATAACTTCCTATAATGTTTTTTCAATGAACATTGTGAATACATAGTGAGAAAGAAAGAACTTGCCTCTTTCATGGATACAACTAGACTTCAAATTAGTCGAAACTTCTAAATTTGGACAATTAATTGAGAAAAATTTTCGAACCTCAAATTAAAATCTCTGCATTCACTATTTATATGAATTGGATTTTTGTCATCCATTTCTTGTACGACTACCGTTGCAACATCCAAATCTGAGTTCCGTTCAAAACAGTTCCGTTTGATCGCTGTACAATTCGCATCAAAAGATAGACTCCGTGTCACAGTATTCTTTCCGATAGTATTCTTTCCGATATATTCTTTCCGTGTCACAGTACTCTTTCCGATACTTTAGAAAACAACAATAAATGATAATTGTATACTAACTGGTCATATAATTAAAATGTTCCATTACTCCATGAGTATCAATCATCATTTTTAATTATGACATCTTTCTAAATAAATGAAATATTAAAAATAAATTGTTAGAATGTATTCAAGGATATTCAAAACAGTTTTGACTTAAAATCAACTGAGACCAATACCGATCTTCAATGAGAGAGCTGGATTATTAAATTAGCCAACATTATGCTATAATAATTAGTCGGTTTGAGGTTTCGGGAAATGTAATTCCATGATTCAATTCTATTTAACCATTATTATTTGCATTACGATTATTTTAGTTTGTATTCTATTCAGATTTCATGTCAGATAATAGCTTTAAAAAAAGGTAAAATTAAAAAGTGCAAAGTAGCACTGAAATTGTACAGTATATGGAACAAACAGACTGGAAAAAGAATAATGAACAGTTGCACTTAGTACTTCTCTTTCAATTCTTGAATCAATCTTTCCCCACTCCCTGCCTGTTTCTAGAAAGTATTTATTTTTAGGGCAAGTAAATTAATCAATTAAAAAACTATTTACATTAATAAATCATTCAGTCTATGTAATGGAAACGTCTTACTCATTTAATGCCTTATTCGTTCATTCGCATAACTGCTCGTTTTTTTCATTTCTTTATTACACCGATAAGTGATTTTTAATAATAACAAAGACTAAGAACGATAAAAATGGCACTGTGATGGCAAATACCAGTACATTATTACATTATTTTCCCAATTTCAAACAAAAGTAAATCTAGAAATGCTGAACGAAAATAAAAAATGGATGATAACTATCAATTCTTTTTTCTTTTGTGTCAAAAAATCAAAAGATCGGCGAAACAATAAGTTGAATATGGCATATGAACCTCAGAACATCATCTGAGGTTGCAACACCCTTTTTCCAAGCATTTCGTCATTTAATATCCGAGTTTGGACAATTAGTAATATCCAAATATTTGGCTGAATAATTATTACAAAATGGCAAATGAGTAATTTCCACATATTTTAGTGCTTGCTTTACTAAGTCACAAGGAAACCATCTCTCTAATACTAGTTCATGTGTACTACCACTGCCAAAAAAGGAAGAGTTATGACAATGGTACCTTTCGTTCTGCACACTGGAATAGCTGTATTCAATTTCAATGAATATTAATCATCGTTTCATCATTCCAAGAAAATAAACAAAATGTGTTAAGCATTCCATACGCATTCCAAACAAGCATTTATTTCTGTCCATTTCTCTAATGCGCAAATATTATGAAAACAAATTCGAAAACTAAACGAACCTAACGGTTTCGGTACTTTGGGCGATACTATTATTGAAGCAGTGCGATTGTTCAAATGACGCCGTACCGCTTATAGTCTATAAAGTAAATAAATATAGAAACTATAAAGTTCTGTATGGTTCTTACAGTAATTACATCATTTAACTTGTTCAGTAGTAATAAGTATATCATAATGGCTAACAATCATTTCATCCAAACATAACAGTATAATGATACTGATTCGTACCGCAGAAACATCAGGTCAATCCCGAGAAAAAGCCGTAAATCAAATATTAGTAAGAAATGAATTAGTTTTAAAAAATGATTTGTGCTCAAACAACCTCATATATATTTTTTTTTTTGGGAAATGTCTACGGTGCTAACCAAGAAACTTATAGTCTCCAACTTACTAGGAATCAGTTCTAAACTATTACACGAAAACAAATAATTATTTATAGTTTGACTATTCTTAGTTCAAATAAGTCAAAAAGTAGCCTTACAAGTTATTGCGACGATTTGATTTTCATATAGATAGAACCAAAGAGAGACCAAATAAACTTGGTAAAAATAGTTGGAATTCACTAACTAACTCAGATTCACCCAACTATCGGTGTCTGTGAAGCACCTTATGAACAGCCATCACAATATCAAAATTTCTTAACCAATTTCTTATTTTAAGTTATAAATAGTTAAAAAAATGTAAATTCGCAAAAAAAAAATAGGGTAAAAAATGTTACAGGTACCGCAAAAGTGTGAAGGAGAAGAGATCAAACACAATAATTAACGTATTAATAATTCATCAAATGAATAAATACTTTCAACTAAGTTCAAACTGTTTGTTCATTTAATCAAAGTTGACCTCTTGTTTTTTTTTTGTTATTGTATTCTACCGAAAAAGTGCATACCGTTGTGAGGTCTATATCAGACAGAGTACTGGGCTGTGATTTCCTAGATAATTGATAACTTTCGAGAACATGTTCGTGATTTGAATTCTGACTGGTAGCACTTGATTGTTGGGACGATGTACTTGGAAGAGAATCATCTACTGCAGACACATTTCTGTACCTTGATCTGTAATTAACTGAATCATATTTATCAAAAAAAATGCCAAACTAGAAGACTGGAAAGGAAAAAGGGAAATTAGAAAAGTTTTAAAAAACAGGACGTACCTTAAGAAAAGCTTACTCAAGTTCTTTATGAATGACGGCATATTTTATGATGCATTTCAATTCTGAGAACTCTAAAACAGTGGATGCCTTCTGTACTAAAAAAATTCATCAAAACTTTCACCAACAGTTTTTAATGAAGAAAAAAGGGAGTTATATGGGTTACAGAAAAAAAAAATCGACTCTCATACCCTAAAGAAAAGACTTATCTAGAAAAGAAAGTGCGGTAATGCATTCTTATAAATTTATCAGATAAATTCTGCGCTGACTATTTATTATTGGTTAATTATTTTGAAAAAGAAAGAAACAAAGAGTCGAATGTAAATAATAATGGTTGCTTATTAGCCTTTAAAATAATGGCACTTATTTGCTGATGACAATTTACTTACAATATTCACCAAACAAACAAGCCAATTAAATCCCAAAATTCCACAAAAATGTGAGAAAGAAACTTGCAACGATTTCATTTACAGTGAGAAGACTATTTATAAACAAATTTTTCTTCATTCCTCTCTTCAACTTCTCTACCCACTAGACTGTCACTTAAAAAATATGGAAAACATATAAAAATTTTCAGAAATAATGAAATAAAAATTTTTGAGGCTTATCACATCAGTCTAAATGCAAACTTATATCGAATTAAAGCTCTCAAATTACCCTTCTATAAAATATGTTCCCATAATATAATAAGACTCTCTTACTAATATAAGTAATTATCAAATTAACTCTTATTTACTAGATTGATTAAAAAATTGAAGACTTTTTGACTTAGTCAAACTGTTACCTCCCATGTTGAACAGATGCTAAATGTCGCGTATGATCGATATTCACAGGTGATGTATTCCGTTTCTTCAAACTGTTGAAGAGATTAAGAAAATCTGCATATTTTTTAGCATCAATGCCATCCAAACAAGTCATATCTGTTGATCTTTGTTTGACAATATCACCGTTATCATCGCTGCTACTTCTAACATTCTCAATTCGATTATGCATAACAACACCTTGTGCTTTATTCTTTCATTCCAGTAACTGCAATTAACAATTCGATAATTTAATATTTAGGACATTTTGATTCAATTCAGAATTCAAAAAATGTAAAAAGAGGAAAACGATTGAAGCATAACATTCAAATTGCAATCTGTCATCCGGAATTACTTATCCGCCACTACACGATGAATAATAGTACTCTGAAGGACGTTTCATTTTCGATATACAGCAAACCTGCTGGTACGTAATTCAGTTTTAATAGAAGAAAAATTTCACTCCACCTTAAATACACAACATCTTAATTAAGACAAAAAACTCAACAAAGTTATCATCCAGTAAGACTTCGGAAAATACTAATAGACTCGCACTCACAACACACAAACACGTGTTACTCTCCCTTCCTCCTCATACCTTTAACCTTTCCTTTACTGTTGAAATGGCGTGAGATCACAGTTTTCATGACGGACTGACGTGAGCAGAGACCCGCTGCGGCACACTGTTAACTTCCGTGTAAGGTTTCGTGACTGCGTGTCGTTTCTTGGGTAATCAGTTGATTCCGCGTAGTCTCTTTCATAAGTCACTTATCTTTGTTGTTTAATGTATATGCATTTAGGCGATTAAAAGTTCTCAATTGGGATATCGCGGGAGTTTTACGATTACTCCGTGAAGTGGCTAACGTTTAATGGATCAGTTAGAAGTGAAAGAAGTATGCTCCACTTCCGGCGAAAGTTTCTCTTCTTCATGTGAAGATAATGATGATGATGGTTTGATTAATTGTGCATGCTTTTTTTTTAAATTTATTTTATAGTTGCTTCCCAAATTTCAATTCCTGGTTTTTTTTTTTTTCATTTTTTATTAATACTGACATTTTTTTCGGCACCAATTTTCCGTATTTCAGAATCTCCCACAACACAAAAAAAAGTGGGCAACGAGAACACGGTTGTTTTTGACGATGGAAAACAGCAGAAAGTATGTCACTTCATCAGATTTAAGAATTTAAAGCAGTATAAAAAAAATTTTGTAGCAAGAGGATATTTGTAGCAAAGATAATCTTATTGTTCTTTCTTATTCTCTCTTATTTAGTGCGCTTGCAGAAGCTAAGGAATAAACTGTTGATTTTAAATTTAATTTACAGAAAAAGTTGAAACGTACGAAACGTGAATTGCGAGCAGAACATGCAGCGAAGCATAAACGGGATCGAATGGGTATGGTATTGCCAGATCCAGTACAAGATCGGGAACGGGAACGCAATTTCGTTCATCTTGCAACAAAGTTCATTTTTCTTTCAAGTCATTTTTATTAATACGCTTGATTTTTCATTGTTGTTTCTAACTTATTATTGTTTAATACATCCATGTCTACGGCATTTGCATTATTAAGTATTATGTTTATTGATTCAGTTGACAACATTCTCATGTAACTAGTAAAAGCATTCAAGCAAAAAAAAAAAAAAAACTATAAACAATAGATTTTCCTTTATCGTCTTTAAATTTATTGTATTTAGTATCATATGGGTCTGTTTTAATGTCGGAATTTTCCGGATGTATTGCTAGGACATAATCACATTTAAGATTCTGTTATTGATAGTGCAGTAATCTATTCATCATGTTTGTCGTTATTAGAAACAGATGTAACGATTTTGGAAAAATTACTTATAGAGGTATTGTACAACTATTTAATGCTGTGGCCGAACGACAGAAAGAGCTAAACAATGCATCAGCAGCAAATAAAAAAAGCAAGAAACGTCGATTGCATGATACTTCTGCAGAAAGCTTTAACAGGAAATTAATGGAATCAAAGTCAGTTAAGGTATCCAATTTCAAACATTTTTTTGCAGTTGCTGTAATTCCATTGATAAAGGTACATATTTCGCCATGTTTTGTTTGGATTTTTATGCAATATAAAATTTAGGATGAAGCAAATGATACAAAAGAAGATTGGCTATCTGATGATCAGACGGCAATTAAATGTGAGACAGAGGACGACTTAGATACTTCTGGAGTTAAGACAGAACCAGAGAGTGATTCGGAATGAAGTCCTTAATGTTGCGCGTTTGTTTCATCTGGAAAGATGTTAGTAAACTAAATTAAATTTTGTTTCCTTGTATCATGTTTGCTCAAATTTATTTTCTGATAATAGTGAATCTGTGTAAACTATGAGAAAATAAATGAAATTTAGACATATAGAAAACGGTTGCATTTTATCAATGTTTTCTCGATGTTCCCAGATTTTTAAAGTTTTATTGTTATCAGTTCAGTGCAGGTATATAAAAAGTTATGTCTTGTTTCCTTACAGTTATATACTTCAGAATAGAAGGTAATCAATTTTGAATAGCTATTTTTATTAACACCTTATTTCATATTCTATATGTTACAAAAAGCAGAAATTTTAAATTTTTTCTTGATAGTAGTATAGAATTGGTACCAGTGAGGATATCCAATTTTCTCAAACATTTCGTGTTAAATCCATTTTGTCCCATTTTCGGGAAGCAAAAATGTCTATAATCAGTTAGATTGGGTTCAATTCTTTCACAGTTTAGCTATGTGAAGAAATTATGCTTAAATGTCTACAAATTTTTTTGTTCGGAAAGCGTGTTGTTCTACAAGAAACGTCATGCAAATAATGTAAGCAAATTTTATTGAACAAAAAATTGAGGAATTATTCATTTATTAGGAAGTTGTTTAGCTAAATTAAAAAATTGTACAACATGTTTAATGAGGATTATAAAATTGGCAGTATAATACATATTTCAAATGACTTTGAAAAATAACAATGAAATTGGCATTGCAAAAGACAAAAAAGAAAGGGCAGTAAAATATTAAATGCAAATGAATAGATCGTTGATTGATTAAAGGCCACAGTTTTGAATCTTTTCAGTGAAATGTTGTGATGTATAAAGCAGAGAGTGAAATCAGTTGCTGTTTCACTGTTATTCCCTTTTGATGGATGGAAATTTAATTCTCAAGCACAAATTTATTACTTTTCCACTATTTAGTTCTGACGCTATATTTGAGAAGTGATCAATTATTTTTCTTAAATTTGACTTTGTTCCTGATTTTCAGCCGTATGTTCTATCTCACTTTTAGAGAATGTCTCTCATTGGCAGTTATGATAAGCAAATTATAGTAAATGAAGACAGTGATTTAGTACACAACAAAACAGCAAAATTGAATAAAAAATAAAATTGATTTCTCATAGTAAGAAAAAAGTGAAATTGAAGTTTCAAAAGAGGAAGAAGAAAGATTACCTAATAATGTTACAAACATTGCTATTGACGAGTGTTTTTCTAACAATTAGCTTGACATAAGCAAGAACAAAATATGCTTCGAGAAATATATTTCATTCTTGTTTATAACTGTCATATCAAAGAAACAAAAATAGAAATTAAACATAAGGTCCCAGAGTGTGTTTCAGTGCTAACAACAAATGTGATCTAAGATTAATAGAGAAATTGAAAATTATTTGAAATTTTATTGACATATCTGATTTGCTTAATTGTTAATACTCAATATCTTAAGTTTCTCATTGAATTTTTTTCAAATAAAAAAAGCTTAAAACACAATGTCCTTCACATAATGAGCATTAATTTTAGTTATGGAAATAAATAGAATGCATCGAACCAATCTCCATGTACCACATTGAACAGTGATGGATGTTGCTGAATAATCAGTACGAGAGTTGTCTGAAATGACATTTTGTGACATCGACCGAACAAAAGTCTAACATTTGCTTAGATGTTCATTACGATTAAAGATGCAAAAATGCTTACACTGTTAAAATATTAAGCGTACGCAATTAAGCGTACCAAATAACAAATTTAACGTAATTTGACGTATAAATGCACCGTTTTTTATAATAACTTCAAAATAAACAGAGCTACCTGATCATCGTCAACGTATTTCCGGTTAATTAAGTCGACAACCATTTGATGATATAGTTGATGAAAACGACTTAGCGAATAGATATCACCACCAAGGAAACCTCCACTTACTACAGCCCAGTTCTTGCGATACAAATCAGCAAGCGTATATCGTGATATATTGTCATACCACGGTGTCACCTGAACTAAATTATATATTCCATAGAATGTTTGTTAAATATAATGACAATTCGTTATTCCATGATTCTACGAAGAGTTCAAGTGTTATATGAATTTCCCTTGTTCCTAAGAAACTCTCTTCCCCATAATAGTTATTACCTGATGAAATACAGGTACCTCTCTTATTCCTTATCCATTTGACGATAGAGTCTCTGAATTTGAACTATCTTCAGATCTGCGAATATTGATTTACTCACATTATCCATTTTTCAGGTAGATCTCATTAACCTCTTATATTGTATTACTAATAAACGTCCTTATCGCAATAACGAAGAACTCATTAATTGAATGCTTAAAAAATCAGTTCATCTTATACATATTTTTAAAAAATGCCTAGTATTTAATTCAAATAATGATGGTCGGAATGTAAATTTTGCATTTATAAGATTGAAAAAGTGAGAAAATTGACGGATAGATGATTGATTACCTTAATGAGGGAAATTTTTCCACGTATCAACGTAGGATGCCAGTAAAACGATGGCGGAAATATAGATTGATTACCATGCGCATAACCTGCATCCAACCATGCAAAAAATTCACTTTTGAATGGATTATTTATCTAAAATAATTGAGAATGAAATTAGAACTTTGAATAGAATTTCAATAATCTTTTAGTAATCAATTCTTGATGTTTTTGATTTTGTTTTCTTTTTTTCTCCATTTTATTTTATAAAATGTAAATTTGCAAAATATTTTTAGCAATTTAATATTTATTAGAATTTTGCAATATTTAAATAGTAAATTCAATTGTATCCAATTTGATTTACTCATTGTTTTAAACAACTTTCATAGGTATGATGAATAAGAAAATTGATTTTTAGAAGTTTTAAATTTGCTAAAATTTTACTCTGCGATTGGTTTTAAAAAATTTACCGAGGCATTGTACAAGAAATACGATTTGGAATTAACCAATATATCATATTTAGCACTTTTTGCTTCTGGATGTGAACTCATAGAACGATCCCATTGCTGATCCCAACGTTTATCATTTCGTTCATCTGATATTATTTGCATTGCCGTTTTCATATATCGATAGAGTGGAAGTTCAGCCAAAGTAATTGGAATTACCTTCAAATTTTAATTTTCAAATTTATATTTTTGCTAATCGTTTGACATGCCGCGTTCGATAATTTAGTTAAATGATATTAATCAAAAGTTTTGATATGCATAACTAATAGTGAGAGTGTAAATGATAATAAAAGTATCATTTTTTTTTTTTTTAATTCAAATTCATATCTTTTAATAGAATTCATTTGATCAAGAATGTAGCACTTACCTCAGTGATATGCTCCAAATGATATAATTTCCTTTGAGTGTAAACATGTTTTATGCTTTTTTGATCAACAAAAATGATTAAATTAACTTTTAGCTTTAGTAGATTTTGCAAGAAACCATAATAACTTTCCAGTGGACGACGATACTCCCACCAGTCACCTCTTCCGATATCCAGTAGAGCTGTTACTAAAGTAAAATCTGATTCTGTGACCCTAAAATCATCTTCAATACACTTTTAGTTTTGAATTTATCAGTGCATACGTTACCTATTATTTTCATTTAAAGATTATTGTGCATGTGGAAGATATTTAGAAGTTTTGTTTTTATTAAAATTAAAAATTTTTTCAACTGTTAACTTTTGAAGTATGTATGGACTGAAGTATATGTTGTTAAATGTTTTAGAATTGATTTGTCCTTCAGCTCTTCAATATCTATTTAAAAATTAATTCACTACCGATTACTTGTTTAAATCCGAAATCTTACTTTAGTGATGTTTTCGTAGTATATTCTAAAGATTCCACCGATTTTAAATGATTCAATATGTCCTGACTACGAGCTTGTTCCTGGTGCAGTTTTAATGTTGTTTGTAAAACAGTAAATCGAGGATGGGCAATAATTTTGGTGGATGATGAAGGTTGCTGCAATTCCTCGGTTTGCAGTTTTGCTTGTATTTCCGTTGATATTCCCAAAAACTTTTGACCTTAAAAGATGAGAACATTAAGGTGTAACTTGGCAATGCGTAGTTATCTGTATTTAATAACAAAATCCGACATGCAAGCAATGAAAGTTCTACTTTTCTTTGATAAATCAACATGCTTTTCCGTGTTCGGTAATCGTAATTTGACAGGAAGTGAAGATAACGGTTCGAACGTTGATGATAACAGAGATAATGAAAATATCGATGATGGAGTAGATGATAGTGGTGAAAATTGAGATTTTGTCGCTGTTAATTTAGATTGTTGTTGCTTCTGTTGATGCAATCTGTTAGGAGGTGAAATCCTTCTTAGTGGAATGGTACTTCCTGAAGTATTGGAAACAGTTGTTTATTTCTAATACTAGCAGAAGAGATAATGATTATAACTATACCTGCAATAATAGGTGGTATTGTTGTTGTTGTTGTTGTTGATGTTGTTGTTGTTGCTGATGTTGTTGTTGTTGCTGTTGTTGTTGTTGTTGATGTTGTTGTTGTTGATACTGTTGTTGTTGATGTTGTTGTTGTTGCTGTTGTTGTTGCTGTTGTTGATGATTTTGTTGATATTTTTGATGTTGTTATAGCAGTATGAGAAGAACGAAGATCAAAAATACTTGAAATGAATGGCTTCTTTGTAGTTTCATTTGTAAATATGTTTGATGTATCAGATACGAATGAGAAACCAATATTGTTAGCATCAGTTATTGTTCGATTCTGAAATATTTTTAAATATTGGTAGATTATTTATTAGTCTTTCAAAATTTTCAGAAATAATTTATATCGATAAATAATAATTTTGGTAAGTAATCATAAAATTCATTGCTTAAAATATAAACTTGTAAATTGTATAAATTAAATTTAAGATTACAATTTCCAATTCATCAAATGAAACCAACATATCACATCTCTCTCATAGTTTATCTCTCTCTCTTCCTCTTATCAATCAATTCTCTGAAAATATCTCTACCA